CCATTTGTTTATCCTTAAGAGGCATTATTTTGATGTGCTGACAGGGGATACTAATCAACAGGGATCAGTTACTTAGTTTTTAAAAATCACTCCTAATACTTGCAAAAGAAAATTATTTAAAATGTAAAAGCAATTATGTATGTCATCAGGGCCACTTTAGGGAAAAAAGCGTGCTGCAGATTTTGGGAAGAAGATTGTCTTTAAGACAAAATGACTCATACATATGTTTTATTATTTATATCATTACTAAACATCTTCATATTGAAAAAAATTCAGAAACTACATTTTCAGTGTACACTCACATACCTAGGTTTTTTTAAAATTTTTGTTGGGACATAGTAGGTGCATATGTATTTATGGAATACACAAGATATTTTGATATAGGCATACAAGGTGTAATAATCACATCAGGGTAAATGGGGTCTCTATCACCTCAAGCATTTACCCTTTGTGTTACAAACAATCAGTTATACTCTTCTAGTTATTTTAAATGTACAATTAAATTATTATCGACTATAGTCATCCTGCTTTGCTATCAAATACTAGATCTTATTGATTCTTTCTATTTTATGTACCCACTAACCATTCCCACTTCCCCTAGTTTTACATAATGCTTCATCTTTAAACAAAAATGTATCACTAATAATGACATTGATACTGTTTATTTTGTCTAAACGATAGAATCCTACAAGCTACTTAAGTATAAAATTTGTGGCTGTCTCATCAGGTGTCTTAATACTGAATTCTTTATAATGAGATTTTTCCATTGCAAATGGCATTTAACAAAAAGTGCTCCTCATTCCAATGACTTAGAAGCACATGATTTCCATCCACCACTACTCCGAACTGGCAGCCATCATAATAAGGTGTGAAATGTCATTAAAAAGTAGCATTCCACAGCCCTCCACACCAAGTCAGGTTTTCCTGTTACCTATCCTATCCTGCATATACTGTGCCCACTTTCTCCCTTTAGGGAGCAAGGGGCCAGTCCCCAGCGCTTGGGGATCTGAGACGTTTTCCTTTTCTCCTTTAAATCTAAATTTAGATGTCACCTTCTCAGAGCTGCTTTTCCTTATGGCGCAATCAGATTAGGTCTTTCCAGGCAAAAAGTGTCCAGAGTAGAGACGTTGTTCAAGGACACTGGACCCTGGCTAGGCTTTTTCCCCTGATGATGACATGGCCTCACTCATGTTGAGGTGGTTCAATGTTTGCCAACATTTCCTTAAAGGGATGCTCAGAGAAGCCAAGGTATGCTTCTACAGAATGGTGAAATAAGCCCCATACATAAAAGATAGTTCTTTATGAGGCAAGACTTTCCTTTTAGACTGAATTCTGGAAGGACCTTACCTGCACAGAGAGGGTCACCAGAAGCTGTGAGTTGCACAAGGGAACAAGGGAAACAGAAAACCAGAGAAAAGCCAGGCAAGGATGAGCAGCAGCTGCTCTGGCACAGGGAAGCACCTCCCTGCTATTGCATGTATGTCCTCAATAAAAGTAAATGTCAAAGAAGAAGAAGTCTTTGAATGTTCTCACTACAAAGAAATGATAAATGCATGAGATGTTCTATATATACATTACTCTAACTGGATCATTATACAACATAAATATGTATCAAAACATCAAATTGTACTCCATAAATATGTACACTTACAATGTGCCAATTAAAAAAATCAATTTAAATTTAAAAAATAATAAAAGTCAAGAGAGATTATGAATATTTAAATTAGCTTGTTTAATCACTCCACAGTGTATACATATATCAAAACACCACATTTTACTCCATAAATGCAATATAATCAGCTAATCATTAAAAATATCAATAAAACAGTAAAACTAAATGGGGACATTGTAACATGGTTTCTGCCTGACAGTGGTGACACAACTGATATGCTGCAGTCTCCTCTGTTATTCTCATTCATGACATCCAGTATTTTCCTTCATAGCACTTAATGCACAGTCTTTATATTATCTTCTGGACACCTAATGTACCTCATGTTATACAACCATAAATTTAAATTATATATAACTACTGATATAGTTTGGCTCTGTGTCCCCACCTGAATCTCATCTTGAATTGTAATCTCCATGTGTCAAGGGAGAGACCTGGGGGGAGGTGATTGGATCATGGGGACCATTTCCCCCATGCTGTTCACATGATAGTGAATTATCATGAGATATGATGGTTTAAAAGTGTGACAGCTCCCATCCCTTCCACCATGTAAGATGTCCCTTGCTTCCCCTCGGCCTTCCACCATGATTGTAAGTTTCCTGAGGCCTCCTCAGCCTTGTGAAACTGTGAGTCAAATAAACCTCTTTTCCTTATAAGTTACCCAGTCTCAGGTAGTTCATTATAATGTGGAAATGAACTAATAAAGAAAATTGGTACTGGGAGTTTGGGGCACTGCTATAAAGATACCTGAAAATGTGGAAGCAACTTTGGAACTGGGTAATGGGCAGAGGTTGGATAAGTTTGGAGGACTCAGAAGAAGACAGGAAGAGGTGGGAAACTTTGGAACTTCCTAGAAACGTGTTGAATGGTTTTGACCAAAATGCTGATGCTGATAGGGACAATGAAGTCCAGGTTGACATGCTCTCAGATGGAGATGAACTTATTGGGAACTGGAGCAAAGGTCACTCTTGATATGCTTTAGCAAACAGACTAACAGCATTTTGCCCCTGTCCTAGAGATCTGTGGAACTTTGAACTTGAAAGAGATGATTTAGGGTATCCGGCAGAAGAAATTTCTAAGCAACAAAGCATTTAAGATGTGACCTGGGTGCTCTTAACAGCATATGGCCGTACGCATTCACAAAGATATGGTTTGAAATTAAAACTTATGTTTAAAGAGGAAGCAGAGCACAAAATTTGAACATTTGCAGCCTGACCAAGTGGTAGAAGAAAAAAATCTATTTTCTGGGGAGAAATTCAAGCTGCCTGCAGAAACTTGCATAAGAGATGTCAAATATTAATAGCCAAGGCAATGGGGAAAATGTCCCTAGGGCATTTCATAGATCTTCATGGCAGCCCCTCTCATCACAGGTCCAGAGGCCTAGGAGGGAAAAACTGTTTCATGGGCTGGGCCCAGGGCCCCACTGTTCTGTGCAGCCTTAGGACATGACACCTTGCATTCCAGTTGCTCCAGCTATAGCCATGGCTAAAAGGGGCCAAGGTACAGCTTGGGACATAGCTTCACAGGATACAAGCCCCAAGCCTTGGCAGATTTCACATGGTGTTGGGCCTACAGGTATGCAGAAAACAAGACTTGAGTTTTCATAACCTCCACCTAGATTTCAAGGATGTATGGCAATGCCTAGATGTCCAGGCAGAAGTCTGCTGCAGTAGCAGAGTCCTCATGGAGAACCTCTAATAAGGCAGTGCAGAGGGGAAATATGGAGTTAGAGCCCCCACACGGAGTCCCCTCTGGACCACTCCCTAGTGGAGCCATGAGAAATGCGCTACCATCCTGTGGCCCCCAGAATGGATCTACCCAGAATGGTAGATCCACTGACAGCTTGCACTGTGCACCTGGAAAAGCTGCAGGCAATCAATGCCAGCCCTTGAAAGCAGCCACAGGGGCTGTACCCTATGGAGCCTCAGAGGCAGAGCTGCCCAAGACCTTGGCAGGCCACTTCTTACATCAAAGTGCCCTGATGTGAGACATGGAGCCAAAGGAGATTATTTTGAAATTTTAAGGTTTAATGATTACCCTTTTGGGTTTTAGACTTGCATGGGGCCTGTAGACCCTTTGTTTTGGTCAATTTTCTCATTTGGTGCTTTTGATTTTACAGGCTCATAGGTGGAAGGGACTTATCTTGTCTCAGATGAGACTTTGGACTTGGACTTTTGGGTTAATGCTGGAATGAGTTAAGACTTTTGGGGACTGTTGGGAAGCCATGATTGTGTTTTAAAATGTAAGAAGGACTTGAGATTTGGGAGGGGCTGGGATGGAACAATATGGTTTGGCTCTGTGTCCCCACCCAAATCTCTTCTTGAATTGTAATCCCCACATGTCAGGGGAGGAACCTGGTGAGAGGTTATTGAATCGTGGGGGCAGTTTCCCATGTGCGTTTCTCATGATAGTGAGTTCCCACATGTGCGGTTCTCATGATAGTGAGTTCCCACAAGATGTGAAGGTTTAAAAGTGTGTGACTGTTCCCTTCATGTTCTCTCTCTCCTGCTCCACCATTGTGAAGATGCACATAGTTCCTCTTCATCTTCCACCATGATTATAAGTTTCCTGAGGCCTCCCCAGCTATATGGAACTGTGAGTCAATTTTAAACCTCTTCTGTTTATAAATTAACCAGTCTTGGGTAGTTATTTATAACAGTGTGAAAACAGACTAATACTAATACAACTACATATGTACCTGAATAATTACTATATTCTGCATTTATACCTCTCAGGTGAACTCTATGAGATTAGGCACTGTGCTTTTTTTTTTTTTTTTTTTTTTTTTTTTTTCCACCATTGCATCACCAGTTCAGCAGAGAGTCTTCACAGGAGGTGCAAAATAAATATTTTTTAGTAAACCAATATTGCGACAGTTGAAAAAAACTGTTGCATGACTCTGCAATGGTACCAAGCCCCTGGCGGTTTTTACTCCATGTCCAAGACCATCAGGAAGCCTCTCCATTGCAGGAGAGATTCTTTCAATCGGTTCTGCCTTGCCTACCTGACTGTGGAATACCTGACACCTTTTGGTGGGAGGAGCCCGGGTAGGAGTGGGCAGCTATGCAGAAAAGGGCCTCATTGACTCATCACTGCTTCAGAGGCCAGCCATGTTGAATTAGTTCATAAAAATTCTTAGTTGTTTTCATGGTCTTTTTCTACTTTGGGTCTCCAAGACTCATGCATGCATACTAACAGATGTGTATCACAAAATCATAGGAATGACACATTTTCAAACTATTTGATTAAAAATCCAGTTTTGAAAGCTTATTTCTAGATACTTAGTGTCAATTACCCCCCTTTCTGATAAACAACAATTATGAATGAGGCATTTAGTAAAAACATTTTATTAATTCCATGATGTCCACATTTTCATTACTTGCTTTTCAGAATGAAATGATTGTTTCACCACAATTCACACAAATTAACTGATACATTAATCCACACCAAAAGAAAGAACTCACATGAAAACAGTATCATCTACGATGAGGGGAGTCACAGGAGCCACTCAGGCTTCACTCTCATCATCATGAGCATGAAATAATGATCCTGGTCCATAGAATGAAGCCCAGCAAGAGGGGCCCACACTTGTCTCCTGGTATCCACCTCCCAAAAACCATTTATCAAAACAAATGCAGTCATACAGATCCAGAGCTAACCAACAGTTTGTAAACCACAATTCTAACTTAAAACTGACCAAATTTTCTAGTCAATGGGTTAGATGAAGAGTTATTAATAACCTGTAACCAGAATTTTAAAAAATATATATGTGAAAAGTTCATTTGATAATGTTTCCTAATTAATAAAAGCCCATAGGACATCCCTACACACTAAGATTTCTATCCTTTCTTTATTTTTTCTCCTAATCATCACATTTTTTTCAAGCCAACTATAACTCTTGCTATCATATCTGTTCTTATTTTTCTATCTTGCCATCTAATCTTTGTCCATATGTAAATATATTTCACTGTTATAATCACAGTGTACTCAATATTTTGTGAACTAAATCTTTCACTTAACAGTCTGAGTCTACCATTTTCATATTATGGAATCTTCACAATTGTTTTTATGGTTGCCTAATATCTCCTAATTTCCTTAAGCATAGCCTGATTATTGAATATTTATGACATTTCCATTTTTTTGTTATTAAATGTAATTTTATATAGACTATTTTCAGTCTTTTCGATTGTTTCCTGGATACAGAGAAAATAAAGATCCAAGTGTGTGAATATTTTTATGGCTCTTACTGTATTTAATCATTTTACAAAAAAGGTTGGGTTGATTTACACTGCTCTAGCAATTTGTGAGTGGATATTTACTGAGAGCATGCTATGATTTACTTTTAGCTTTAATTTTTATTATAAGAGTTATCAATTAGTATCTCATTATTAATTACAAGTAGGCTTAAACATTGCTCTACATTTATTCTTTATGCTTGCATAAATTGTCTATTTACATTCTTAACCCATTATTCTATTTCCTTCTATTTTTTAAAAGGTATTTTTAATTGGCTGCTTGAAACCCTGAAAATAAGTCTCTTAACTTGACCTAAATACGAAAGGCAATAGAAGCAAAATCAGCACAAACTTGCCCTGTTACCTTCAAGAACTTGGCTGTTACCAGGTCATATTAACAGAAGAATAGTAATTCCTTCCAGAGAAATACTGTGCTTACCCTAGTTGGTCTTCACAGCAAAGTAAGAAGAAAATGCACTACTGTGGATTTGAGGGCCACACTTCATCACTAAATAGTATTTTCAACAAACTTAGACATTGGTCACTAATGATGAAACAGGTAAAATATAAGCACCCAATTAAGGAGTGGGGAAAACCTATGCAGCTCATTAATTGCATAAACGACCTGACATACACTGTCCAGCAGTCATACAGAAACAAAAGTTACAACAATTTAGATCTTGCATTTTCCAAAGCATTGGGCGGGAACACTCCCGACATGTTACTTGACATCACAGAGAAGGGCAACCCCACGGAGCACCCAGTGTTCAGGGGTCTGGGCCGTCCTGAGGTCCACAGCCGCAATGTAGTTCAAGTCCGTTCGAACTGGCTTCTTATAGATGGGACAGGAGTAAAACCGAGGATCTCGTAAAGCTACAAAAAAATCATAAAAGAAAAGAACTTGGTGAATTTCCCACTTAAGTGCCCAAGGAGAGTGCAGAGCCACACTTCTGCATTCTGTAGGTCATTTCAAAGACAGATGGGTTTGGCAGAATGAGGAACATTCTTTCTGAGGCCAGGCAATTCCTGGATGTGACGCAGACGCTCCCACAGGGTGCCAGTAGCTGTGGCAAGACACCCAGAAAGCGTCTGGTGGCCTCTGCTGGCCCCCTGCCCCGAACCATGGACAGTAACTCAGCGCACATGCTTCCTCTCTCTCCTTTGCACCTGTCAACTCAACATCCCCCTCCACCTGTTCTCCTTCATCTCCCCAACAAACCTTGAGCGCGCACACGTCAGTTTTAATCAGGCATCCAGCACCAGTGGGCATTACTTTATTATTTCAAAATCTTCAACCCTGCAGGCCATAGTTTACATCACATCTTAAATCCCACCCCCCAGCTAAATCAGGTATTGTGAATTCTCTATAAATGTAGAGAAATAAAATTGCTGGGAGGCAGAGAGTAATGGACCAATTCACCTCTCTGAGACTCAATCTGCCTTTCCGGAGTAGAAGAATAGATGCAGTTTCCAAAATGACACTGCAATGAAAGGCAACCTATGCGTGTCCATCCTTCAGAGATCCTTTCTAACACATCCATATCCACCCACAGGCTCCCTTTCTTTCCGGCCTTGGAAACCCCATACTCAGAGACAGGCCCAGGTCTGTGGGGAATTAAACTCACACAATTCATGAGGGCCCTCTTTAAAAAAAAAAAATGAGTGAAATTTACAAATAAAAAAGTAGGCTTTGGAAGGAGCTTCTGCCTGTGAGCAGCCTGGGAGTTTAAGCCTCATTAGTGTCTTATGAGAGCCACTCTGTACACAGTAGTTTACCTGCACACCTCCTAACATGCATCTCAGGAAGGAGTGTATTATTTTATAGTCTCTTCCAGATTATACATTTTTCAAGGACAAGAGTGTATCTACACCCATCTCTGTACTCTTCTGGAAAGTCAATATTATATTTTTAAAAAATCCTCACTTAACTATTGAAGTGAAATGACATTTAACTAAGAGGATGCTCTGCTTTTGTGAATTAATGTTACAAACATGGGCACTGAAACATATCAGAGTTACTGAATTTATTTCTCAAAACTGACATGCTCAAAAATTTGCCTTTTCCAGAAAATTATAAAAGCAAGGCACTCTCAGAAGCTAAAGTCTCATTATTTGATCCAATAGACCTTTTAACCTGTTGTGCCCTGTGTTTTCACATATCCACTATAAATTTAATTAATTGTATTAGAAGAAGTGAAACATCTGAATATAATAATATGATACATAAGTTTCAATATAAAATAAATAATTCTAAGGCAGTGATTCTTAACCAGGGATGATTCTACCTATGGGGGACATTTGCCAATATCTGAAGACATGTTTGGTTAACACAACTGTGGGCTTGCTACTAACATCTTCGTGAATAGAGGTCAGGGATGCTGCTGACATCCTATAATGCACAGGACAGCCCCCCCAACTCCCCGCGCCAAAACAAAGTTATCCAGACCAAAAATGTTAATAGTACCAAAACTAAGAAACCTTCTTCTAAAACAACGAAGATATTTTACAGTATTTTAAAACTCTGTGTTTCCTTAATCTCATGAAATTAATCATTAGAAACAACCTAAAACAATGTGATACCTAATTTTTAAGTCTCAGTGTAATTTTTCCAATTTCTGTGCATATATCACTAGTAATAATAATTAGGCAAATGTATATGAAAAATTCTGAACAAGTAAATGAATGACAACGAATCATGCAATGCGGTTAACACTAACTATACTCGCTGATATAGTTAAATCCTTTAATCTTAGGATCTTTAAACATGTAACAAATATATAACTCATTCTTCTTCTTGCTGCAAATTTGATTAACCATCATTTTATAAACTTGAAGTAAGGTTTTGGTGCCTTACATCTGAATCTCATGACAATTACAATAATTACAACTTGAGAAGTATTTGACTACTTGGATTTTAATCCCAAAAGAAAAATGAAGGAAAAAAATAGCATTCTCTTCAATAAGCAGGTAAAAATAATTTTCTGAAATATTTATCCAATTCTATTTATTTTTAATTGCTTCAGAGCTGAAGGTGCTCATGCCAAGTCACAGCATGCAGCAAACTTCTGCGGCAGGATTAGAAGCCACCAAAGATACAATTTCATAGTGAAAACGCTGACAGATGCTAAACAACTACATAAGCAGATGATTCGAAACCATCCCCCTGCTTAGACAAACAACTTTGAAGACAAAAATAAGCATGTGAGGTAGGTAGAACAAATCCACTAAATACGTTTAAAACCTTGGGGCTCCAGAAGGAGGAGGAGAGAGGAGAGCGTGTGCAAACTGGCAAGCTATATCCTTTAGGGTCTTAAAAGTTTTAATAAAACACCTTGGGGGAATTTCATTTTCTGACTGTTTAACTTCCCTATCTATCTTGCATTTTTCATCTATATGTGAGTATGCATCCATATATTGCTTCCAACATCCAAAATAACCATTACATAGAGAGACTCTATAGAATCGTTAAGTCATACTTTTATTTAACCACCCTTTTGCTCATAACATTTAAATTACTAGACAGTTCACTCTTAATATACTCTATTTCTTTCACTCCTTTATTGCGGCACTATTCACAATAGCAAAGACTTGGAATCAACCCAAATGTCCATCAGTGACAGACTGGATTAAGAAAATGTGGCACATATACACCATGGAATACTATGCAGCCATAAAAAAGGATGAGTTTGTGTCCTTTGTAGGGACATGGATGCAGCTGGAAACCATCATTCTTAGCAAACTATCACAAGAACAGAAAACCAAACACCGCATGTTCTCACTCATAGGTGGGAACTGAACAATGAGATCACTTGGACTCGGGAAGGGGAACATCACACACCGGGGCCTATCATGGGGAGGGGGGAGGGGGGAGGGATTGCACTGGGAGTTATACCTGATGTAAATGACGAGTTGATGAGTGCTGACGAGTTGATGGCTGCAGCACACCAACACGGCACAAGTAAACATATGTAACAAACCTGCACGTTATGCACATGTACCCTAGAACTCAAAGTATAATAATAATAATTTAAAAAAAGCATTTGAGTTAAGCATGTTAATAAGAGTAACAATTGAAAAAATATGTATTAAATGCATCCTATGTTCATTGTCAGTACATTGTCAGTATATAGGAAGTATTTAATACGTATTTTTCCTAATAACACTGTGAGTTTAATTCTCTCAGCAATCCTGTGTGATGGGTACTGCTATTTAATCACTTTACGGATTCAAAAACTGGAACAGAAGGAGGCGAGTTGTCCAAGATTAGAAAGCTGTAGTGATAACTGAGAATGAAACCTATTCAGAATGGATCCTTGGCCTCTCCACTTCATCTCTGCAATACTTGGGATGCACTATGCATGTATACCTCTGTCTTTGCAGAAAACATGAAAATGAAATGGACAGAACTAGATACCTGAGTTCAATTTGTGGCATATTTTAGATAGGCCTCCAATGCCACACGACTAATGACTAGGATGATAAAAGCCAGGAGAACAATTCGAATATCCTGGCCCCCGGCTCAGAGTCCTCTACCGGTGAACAGGGGCATGAGCACTTTTCAGCCTGCAGCATGACGGAGGGAGGTATGGGGAGGGAGAGCACCATCCACAGAGGGCTCTCCCTGTGCCCTCCCACTGCCTACAGTCTAACTTAACAGGTACCTGAGAAAAATTAACTCAGGACTTCAATATTCAAGGGAGCTGTCCTCATTTTGAATTTAGCCTTTATTTTCAAGTTTCGTCCCAGGTGCTGAGAGGACACATAAACACAGAATCTCAAGTAGAAGACTAACCATGGGAATTCCCAGAGGTTTGCATATACCTCACGACAAACAAATGTGATTCTGATACCAGCTTTCACTGTCAGTAGCCAGGAATCATGGACAAATGATCCAGGGTCTCCAAACCTTAATTTCTCCATCTGTGAAATGAGGACGATAAATTTGACAGAGTTGTTGTCAAGATTAAATAAGGTAACACATGTATGTGTCTGGTATAGTATAATGCCTGGAATGTGGAAGGTGCCTAAGATAGAGATGTTATTTGACACTTCTTTATCTCTCTGTCTCCACACACACGTACATAGGCACACGCACATACACAGGCACACGCACATACACACACATGCATCTACTTACGCATGGACCTTTTCACTAAAGCAACTTCCCAGACTCATGTTTCCCATGACTTTAACAGACTTCCAGGTTTACAAGCTGACAGCCGATTAAACCCTGTGGGCTTAGGAGCCAGGAGGTCTCCACTCCTGGTCACCACATATGGCTATCCCCACCCCAGTCCCAAATCTGCACAGTCTCAGGTCAAAATGGGTCAGATGGCATTCTTAGATACATGTTTTCCTTAGCAGGAAATAACCCTTGAGACCCCTCTTGCACCTGCTTAGTGATCAGAGGTACACAGAAGGCTTGCCTCGTCCCTCACAAATGTTCCAATCACAGTTTTCCGCCACGTCAGCTACAGCTCTCAAGGTCGCTGAGAATCATCAATCTGCTCATATAATAAATCTGTGAAGACACATATCTCTCTTCTATCTGTCCTTTTCAGCTTCCTTTGAGAACAGAGAATCTAGATGGTGTGCGTGTGGCTTTACTCTCTTGGTGAATTGAGCACTATTTGAATGACTTTTCCGTGATTTTCTAGCAAGAAACATGATTTCTTTGTAAAGTTTGAGGGCGTGTCACTCAATTTTTAGAGTTAAAATAAATATCTAGATTTCTTCTTGTAGAAAACAAATAAACCAGTCCTATATCTATATTTTAATGATTATTTAAATTGAGAAATTTCCTTCATATTAATGTAAAAATGGTTAACTATAAGAATTCCAATTTTTAAATGCTGCACTTTGGTCTTTAATGATGCTACACACCTCTTTAAGTCAATCAGAGCCCTGCTCAATTATCAAAATTGAGTAAAAATTAAATGTATCACATGAAAAGGGTAACAGAATGTTAGTTTTCCATTACTAAAGAAACACCTCTTCAACAACAAAGCTATTTTAACAACAAACCAAGTTTCCACCAGCTCTTACTGAAATCAAAAAAGGAATAAAGAACTAAAGTTTTCTTTTAATACTTTGAAATTAGCCCCTTTTCCTTTGCTTATTTTCTTTTTTCCCTTACCTGCTGCTAATGAGCATCACCACTGGCTAACACACAGAGGGTGGATATAGTTCTTCTATAAAAATCTGTTCTTAAATCATAAAGAATTGCCAGTATTATAAAATTATTACTTTATTACCACCATGCTGAGATGTTCAGTGTCAAATTGCCATGGATTTTTATAGTTTAGTCACAAGAAAAAACAGTACCATGTAACTCAACTGGAGAAAGGTTTTTATTTCATTTTATAACGGAAACGTTTTTACAACATGTTGACTAGATGCAATTATACGATAAAGCAATTTCTCTAAAATACTATTTTTGGCTAAAGGAACACTTGATTATTATTTCTATAAAATAATTACTGTCCCAAGATGTCACACTACCCTAAGAACCAGTAAATACAAAGCCATAAGCAGTATGCTTGCCTAAGCCCAGGTAGACACATTTATCTTTTTTGATTCAACTAATAAATATTGAACTACACCATGTGCCAAGCAGTGTGCTGAGAACCTTCGTGTTCCTAATCTGATGCTCAACTCTCCCCTTCACAGGCTCTTCTTCCTTCATGTTTTAAACACTGGTCCCCTCCCAAGGTAATCCTTATTCCCTTCAACAAATCACAACCTCTCTAGCTTGTTGTTGTCAAAGCAAAAATCATTTCTCTAGCAAACTTTTGAAAATACTAAATGAGACATGGTGTGAAATCCACCTTTAAACATTCTCCATAAATATCAGTTGTCTCTTCCGACTCCCCCATTTCCACCTCTACCTGAAGAACCTCTTTCATGTGGAAGCTTTGTTATCCACCTACACACTGCTGACATCCAGCTAACCTGAACCAGGTCTGTCTTCTAAATCCCAGAACTAAACTCTTCACCAAACCCAGCACATCCATTACCACCTCATGACTTTCCACTCTTCCCTGTGCTCCAGGATGTTAGCATAGCCCCTTTCTGTCACTTGGATCTCAGCTCAATATTCCTAACAGAACTCCTAAGTTACCTTACACTCGAACCATGTGGATGGCTTGAATTTGTCCCCTAAAATTTCATGTGTTGAAAACTTAATCACTGGTACAACAATATTTGGAGGTAGAGTCTGATAAAAGGTGACTGGGTCAAAACGGTGAATCCCTTATGAATGAATTAATGTCATTATCACGCCAGTGAGATAGTTATTGCAAGAGTGCGTTGCTATAAACCAAGTCCAGCCCCTGGTGCCCCTCTCTGTCTCACATGCTTACTTCTACCTTCCGTTTGTGACCGTGGAATGACTCTCACCAGATGCTGGCATCATGCCTTTGGACTTCCCTGCCTCCAGAACCAGGAGCAAAATAAACTTCTATTGTCTATCACATGCCCTGTCTGTAGTATTTTGTTATAGCAACAGAAAACGGACTAAGACACCACGCATGTGTTTTTTTGCAGAGAAACAAGAAGTATCTGAAATCAGTATGTTCGTTTCTAGTCAACTCTCATTATTCACAGTAGTTATGTCCTATAAAGTCACCATGAATATTGAATTAACAAATGCCAAGCCATTGCTCCTAGGGGAAACACAGGGTTAGTTTCCTGCAAGCCTCTGGTCACATTTCCATCAACCAGTCAACACATAATCTGGTTTTATGTGTGATTCTGTTTAAGGATATCTTGTTAATATATATTGTTGATATTACAATTGCATTGGAGGCCAGCAGCACTATGACTAATGCCTGAAGGAAGTTTGTCCAACACATGTATTTTCTCTATAAGACACAGTCTTCTTGTGCTCAGAAACAGCAGACTTAAACACTACACTTGGGGGCCATTTTAAATAGGAAAAAGTACCAAAAAAAAAAAAAAATTGAAAAACATGGTACTAAAGAGACCACAACAGGTCACTTAGTTGTAATATGAAAGCTGGAACAAGAAGGCCCAGCCTCACCTTGTTTGGCCCCAGCTAGGAATATGTATGTCTGGCAACTCCAACTGTTTGCTGCTTTGCACATGTTTGTGAATGACCATGGGAATGACCATAAAAGTGTCATTAGTATTGATTCAGGGGCTACAGAGAAATTTTAGCAGGTGGGCAAATTCACAAATACAAATCTGTGAGTAACAAGGCCCAACTATATTTGTTTCTTTTATGGCTATCACCCCTGTTTGCGACTCAGCTCCACAAGAATGGGAAGCCTGTTTGGTCTTTTCTCAGTTCTGCCATCCCAACACTAGGGAAGTGCTTGGCAGATTGTCAGTAAGTAGTCATTGAATGACCAAGAGAGATAATGCTATTTCCCTCTGCCACGAAAAGTCTAACTCCCCATAACTATCATTCTTGTCCTCCAAAGCACATCTCAAAAGCAATCACCCCTAAACTCCTAGACATCTCTATGTTTTCTTTCTGAGCATCTCTTTTGTAACATGTATCAATTTGTATTCTCATTATTTACTTACTATGGGTCTCCTTCACCAGACTGTGAGTCTCTGGGGGCTGGATCTGGCTCATAATGATCTTTCCATCCCTAGCACCTAAGGTTATGACTGGTAACTATTAGACATCCAGCAAATGTTTCCTTAAAAAATAAATACTTGGGGCTGGGCGCTGAGGAGGCTGAGGCTGGAGAATCGCTTGAACTCAGGATTTGGAGGTTGCAGTGATCTGAGATCGTGCCACTGCACTCCAGCCTGGGTAACAGAGCGAGACTCTGTCTCAAATAGATAAATAAATAAATAAATAAATAAATAAATAAATAAACAAACAAACAAACACACACACACTTATAGTTCATTAATTATTTTATCCCTTTACTTGTTAGAATCTCTTGTGCTTCTATTGTAAAATCAGTACTTCCTTGGAATCCACTACCATCGGTAGAGTTTATGGGTTATGCTTCTAAAATGAACAGGGAATTCCCTCATGTGCTGAAATGTGGTTATCGCTGTAGAGATGTTAGCTGAGTGAAAGGTGACGAAAAAAAGAGCCTCCAGAAAACATCAATCCAACAATGGAAAATAGTTTAGGCATTTTTAGACTTGTCAAGTACAGCTTTGATAATTTTGTTAAAGTAGAACCACGTGTGTCCTTCACAGAAATGTTATTACATTCAAAGACAGAAATAAGAACCCAGTATTTTACCATTAGCTATAGGACTAAGCCAAATGCCTCTGAATTCAATCTAGACTTCACTACCTGGTTCAAACCTCCAAGTTGGTAGAGCCACAGCCTCCAACTGAGCCCTGTGCAGCCTTATCTAGAAAGTCTCCTTACCACAGCTCACCCCACCACATTGTATCCATTCTTCAAAGCTCAGTCCAGGCCCAAATGCTCCTGAGACTCAGCCCCTGCCCACTTCATCCCGTGTTATCTCACTCTCCTTCCCCATGCTTATTAACCATGCCAAACATTTCTTTCTTATCTCGTCAGCTAGTATTTCCTGAGTATCCACACATATTAATCTGCTTTATTAGATAAGCAAGTACTATCTAGAACTATTCCCTCCTCAATATACTCAAGAAAGTGCCTAGAGGTCAGTAAGTCCCCATTAAACATGGGTGTGAATGTAAAGCTGGTTGATAAGAGAATAAAATCTCTACTACATGATGACAAACATAATGAACCCCCATGTTGATAATGTCATCCAAACGAACAATGCGAACACTTACTGAAGGTACAAGACAACTTACTATTGTTTTCTGCATAAATCCTTATGACAGGCATCAACTCAAAAAGCACTTTTGGTTTTGATTCAATGAGTTTCATGTTCCTCTTGTCCCAGCCAGCACCTTCAAGATATAAGCCATAGACATAGACACCCTCTGTGGGAGGGGCAGAAATGTCATCCTTCATCCATTTGGTGACTTCATTGCAAAGCACCATATTGTCCAGAGCCCAGCCTTTGTTGACCCGAGTTATTTCCTATTCAGGGCAGCAAAAGATGAATGGAGCAGTTAGAGGTTTATCTTAATAGAAAGAGCATAACAATAATGAAAGCTTGGCTCCAAATCACTCTAATTCGAAGGAAGTACAATAGTGCGTAAAGAACTAGCAAGATTCTCTCATAAAAAAAAAAAAAAAACCACATCCTAATTTAGCTATGTCTACTTTAAAAAGAAATACAAAATCAAATCGAATACAAAAATAAGAAATAAATATTTTGAAAGTCGAGCTAGCAGCCTGAGAACAAGTGGCTGGGATTTATGTTCATGACAGTGTAACTGCTAGTACCAAAAAGAGACAGTCATTCTCTGTCTTATTATAGTCTTTAAAACTATAATGAAAGAAAACCCCATGGAGGAAAATTATAATAACACAATGGGTGCAAATCAGAGCTTTTACCTGTCGCATTGCAGTTAAAAATCCCTGGGGGTTAAAAAAGCCTGTCATCCAAAAGCAGTGAGGTCGGCCATTGAAAACCCATGAGGTAAACTGGCCATTTCTTTCTATAAGTTCAGTAAACCAGAAACCCAGAGTACTTGAAATCCAAGAAGCCTGCAGTGAAGACATTTAAATAATTAATTGATATAAGTTTAATACTGCAGTGTAAACCAGCTATGTCCACCAAAAAAATGATGAAATATCAATTTCACTTTTATAATGAAAAAAGTCCCTAAGTCATGAATTTTCCCTGGATTCTGGCATAAGTGTTTCAAATTATTCTTTCTCCTTAATAATAGTAATGCTACTAAGATATGACAGAATATACTGGTCATCACATGAACATCAGATCAACTCACAGAACTGTTCAAGATACTTAATGTCAATCGAATCACTTTCCATGTATCAATATATTCATCACTGATTCTGCTGTAAAGGAATCAAAACAATTTATTGGATTAAATTTCAAGGCTTTCATCATTTTTCCTTAGGTTACAATTTCAATCTATAACACACAGAAAAGGATTTTTATTTACATAAATATGCTCATGGCCTTATCAAGATAAATCAACACTGTAAAATAGATCCCATGGATAATAAGATGTAGAAGACTTGCTACACTTAATTGTAATGGGGTGAACAACAGTTCTTTTCCAGAGTGTTTGTCACTTTAGAATACATTTTTGTTTCCTCTCTTGAAGGAGCAAAAAATGGAAACCCAAGACTCTTTGTCATCCACAAATTATTTGCACTTATTGCTTCTGACTTTCTCCCTGAATTCACCTGTGGGGCTTCCATTACAACAACTGGCGTGGATATGTCATTAATGCCATGAGCAGCAGCAGTGGAAGGTATCTTCAAATCATAGATTATAACATTTTACCGTAATTGCAATATTTTATGTACGAATAAATGTAGTAATCAACCTGGGTACAACACTTGAATTTCAAACACCTTAAGAATTAATTTGCCTATTTTCAAGAGTTATCGAGATTCCAAAGTCTGATAAGAAGCTGAGAAGAATAAAAACCTGAACAAAAAGATCATAATTTAAGAATTAAATCACTCATTGTCTGCTATCATTATAGGTCTGTTAACTAAAAGACATGTGTACTTTATACTACGTTCGGTCTGAGGGCAGAGGGAGCTGCTAATGAGAGTGCCCCCTGACAGGGATTCCTGTTCCAGAGCCTCCCAGGTCCTACCGAGGTGGATGATCTGGTTTGGTAGGGAAGGAACTCACAATGGTCAGTGATCTGGAAGAGTCTCCCTCTGTCCTTGGCAATGAGAAGAGGCAATTCAGATAGAAAACTCTCTGGCATGGGCAATGGATTTATTAAAGATGAGAAGGAAATAAACAGGTCTGGTCAAAGCTGATTCCGAGTCTCTAAGCTATGTGATGAGAGGGATGGGGGGTGGCGTCATCAGATAACATGGAGAAGACAACAAGACGCAGTCCTACTCACTATATGCTGCCTGCAGAACTCACTGCCTCATAATCTGCTGAAGCTCTGGATGACATACCTGAGGCTCGGCACTAAACAAGTCCTACCGCCTTCCCATTTAGCCAAGTAACCTACAGAGGCCAACCCTCTATCCCCCCACCCACCAACCTCATGTCTGTATGCTACCCTCTCTGTGCAGCCCCAACCTGACACAATCCCCCCCGTCCTTGGCAATAACAAGAGGCAAGCCTCCCTCCCAAGCCTTTCCACTCTACCTTCAGCATCTTCAATGCCATGATCAGGAAACTCTTCTAGATCCTCCATCTCATTCTGGAAAATCCTCTCCATCCCTTCTCTTAACTGAAGTCTGCCCCCGACCCCACACCCTCAACCCAGGACAGACTGCTTCCTTCACAGCCTTCTCCAAATGTAGGCTACTGCTTTCCTCATACTCAACAACCCTCAGGACCAGGGGAAGAGGAGACGACCTTGTCATTTCTGACTGTTGTTGCCAGGTCATCATGCTACATCATTCTCTTCTTTTGAGTCTCATGTCATCCAGACATACTATCCTTACCCCTACTTGCTTCTATCACCTACTGGTCACTTCCTCTTATTCATGAAGGAATTTGGCTCCTGGTTTACTCTTCTACTCAATCCCCCAAATAATCATGAGGATGATGATGATGATTGTGTTGGTGGTGGAGGTGGTGGTGGTGGTGGTGATGGTGATGGTGGTGATGGCAGAGGCAGCAATTGGTGGTAACAGTGGTGGTGATGGTCATAGTGGTGATGGTGGTGGAGGCAGTAATGGTGGCTGTGGTGGTGACAGTGGTGGTGATGGTCGTAGTGGTGATGGTAGTTGTGGTGGTGATGGTGGTGGTGGTGGTGTGGTTTTGCTATTAATAATCACAGGCACTTACATAGTACTGGCCACATGCCAGGCGCTGTTCTAAGCACTTCACACATATCAACTCATTTAATTCTCACAATAATGCTAGGAATTATATAATGCTATTATTTCCCTTTTACAGTTAAGGAAACTGAGGGACAACAAGGCAACTAGCGTACCCCAAGTTAGATAGCCCATAAGAGACATGATTTGAACCTGGGTATTCTGGCCAAGTAAGTGCATACTCAAAACCCATATACTGCCTTTATTTACTTTGATTAATCATTCTAGGTGACTTCAGCCACCCATGTGAACGATGCGTTTAACACCCTACTATCTTATCTCATGACCCTCTGCTCTCTAATGACCCTGATGTCCATTCCATTTTATTCCTCTGCTCTCGTACTCTCATGTTAAATTTTGTCATCCCCAAACACTAGCCTGTTGGGAGGTGCGTTTTTTTTCCACTCCTATATTTCCTTCGATGGGGAGAGAGCTCCTTGTCTATAACACTCCAAGATCCTTGACCCTCTCATTCTCCCCACTCCCAGGAGGTAAAGAAATTCATCTGGTTTCTTGCTGTTTCAGAGGTGGGTTCTGCTCATCAGATGTCCCATGTGCCCCCTATACTTCCCAGCCTCACATGCAGTTAGGTTGGGTCCAAGGCTCTAGTTCTGATCCACAGACTGTGAATGAAAGTGGCATGGGTCACTTCTTAATCCAGAAAGTCTAGACCTGGGGTGCCTTGTGCATTTCCCTTCCCTCTGCTGTGATGACTTCAGAGGCCACATGCTCCAGGTGGTACAGCTCCCAGATGACAAGGCCTCCATAATGAGGGTCCCAGAGTAACTGTGTGGAGCCAAGGATGTACCCAGCTGGTGAGGGACATAAGGAAGTAGGATGCAGCTATAACAGCAGGTCCTGAAGTATGATCAGTGGCTTAGCACTAGGGCAGCAGGAGGTTGGAGAAGCCACAGCAGCAGTGGAAAGATGGAGATACAGTTAGGAAGCCCAGCCAGCCAGCCCCTTCTGCTTTTATTGCTTCTGCTTTTATTGCTGGGGGTAGCAGGGGGAAAGGGAGCACACACTCTCTTCTGCTCCCACACTCTCTTCTGCTCCTGCACACTCTAGCTTCACAGGGAAGTCTCTGTAGAGGAAATTGTCTAGTGTAGTGCTGCTGGTGGGTAAGTCTGTCTAATTCCGAATTCTGGTTTTGAAACCCCACAACTCAACTTCCAGCAGATTGAAGCCACATTGTTCAATATTAGCTTTATCAATAAATGTTCTCTAATCTGCACTACTCCTTTTCTGCCATTTAATTGCTTTGGAATTCAGATGGAGAAAAGAGCTATTTAGCTGCCTTAAGAAATCCAACATGCACCATCCCCACTCCACATTCCATTCTCCAACCATAACCTCCACTTCCAGTTCACGTATTCAAGGACAGTCCTTTGACCTAAGCATCTGATTCTTTGGTTCCATGATTTTCACCTCATCCATACATTTTGTCCCATCTCCATTAGGCTAGGTGAAATAAGCCAGGCACAGAAAGGCAAATACTGCACCATCTCACTTACATGTGGAGCCTGAAAGAGTTGAACTCATAAAAATAGAGAGTAGAATGGTGGTTACCAGAGACTAGAGGGTGGGGTGATGAGGGAGGGAATAGGAAGTTGTTGATCAAAGGGTATAAAATTTCAGTTAGATAGGAGAAGTACGTTCAAAAGATCTATTTTACAACAAGGTGACTATAGTTTATGGCAATAGACCATATTTTTTCTTTTTCTTTTCTTTTTTTGGAGACGGAGTCTCACTCTGTCACCCAGTCTGGAGTGCAGTGGCATGATCTCGGCTCACTGCAAGCTCTGTCTCCTGGGTTCATGCCATTCTCCTGCCTCAGCCTCCCGAGTAGCTGGGACTACAGCAGGTGCATGCCGCCATGCCCAGCTAATTTTTTGTATTTTTTGAGTAGACACAGGGTTTCATCATATGTTAGCCAGGATGGTCTCCATCTCCTGACCTCGTGATCTGCCCGCCTTGGCCTCCCAAAGTGCTGGGATTACAGGTGTGAGCCACCGCGCCTGGCTGTAATGGACTGTATTCTTGAAAATTGCTGAGAGTGGCTTTTAGGTCTGAACCACAAGAAAATGTTAATTAAGTATGTGAGGTAATGCCTATGTTAATTAGCCCAGTTTAGCCATTCTACAGGATACACATCTTTCAAAACAACATGTAGCACATCATAGGATGTATATAATTTTTGTCAAGTAAAATAAATTTTAAAATAAGTCTTTAACAGTTTTTGTCCCATCTCCTCACCTCTCGTCTTCACCTGCTGTCATTATAATCTCCCCATTGAGAATGGCTTCCACGACCTAGCTACCTCTCCCACCTTGGGTTGAACTGTGTCCCCGCCCAAACCATACGTTGAAGTCCTAACCCCCAGCACCTAACAACATGATCTTTTTGGGGAACAGGGTCTTTACAGAGGAAATCAAGTGAAAATGAGGGCATAAGGGTGACCCTACTCTAATATGTTGCTGTCCTTATGAAAAAGGGGAAATTTGGACACAGAGACAGATATGCAGAGAGGGAAGATGTTGTGAATGTACTCAGGGCAAACAAAGTCATATGAAGACAAAGAGAGAGATCAGACTAGGACTGCCACAAGCCAAGGAGCTCCTGGGGCCACCAGAAGGTAGAATGAAGCAAAGAAGGATACTCCCTTAGACACTCTGAAGGGAGCATGGCTGGTCAACAGTTCTATTTTGGACTTGCCACCTCCAGAATTGCAAGAAAACAAATTTCTGTTGCTTAAGCCACCCAGTCGGTGGTACTCTGTTATGGCAGCCAAAAACTCCAGCACACCTGCCACTGCACTCTCCAGGTGGGTGTACAACACGGAAGCTCCTCAAGTATCCGCCTTTCCAAGCCTACTCCTGGCAGTTGAAGCCAGCTGGAGGCGATGCACACTGGTGAAGGCTGGTTTCATTCACATTCATAACTTGAGATCTCAAAGGGGTGAATCCTGTCACCTTCCCATGCCTGCATTTCTGTCCTAGTTTCCCCCTCCTTCCAACCTTTAGGTGTGGCAGGGCAAGCGAATGAGGAAGCGGAGTAGAATTGAAAATCTAGGGAGCAGCGACATTGGGGTGACCTGTCAGGCGAGCCCTACTTGGGTTCACGCTGTGGGTGTGGAGGCCCCCAGACCATGGCAGGAGTCAGATGGAAAGGAAGCCATGGGGCAGATCCAGATTTTCCCAAGAAATAGGTTATAGAAGACACCACCTCCTACTCTTCCTATGTATTTTTCTGCCATAATTAATCTTAGCAACTTCACTTACATCTCCCCATAACATGGGTGTGCATATGCATACACATTGCACACGCGCACACACACACACACACACACATACACACAAATACAGAACAAAGAGAAGAATACCATTCAGGCTCCATCCCTTCAAATGTCCTCTACTAAAATACACTTATTTTCCTACTTACAAAGACACTCAGGAACTCATTTCACTTTTCCAAGTGAAAAATTATTCCTTAAAACTGTATCTGTCTTTAGCACAATTACTAACAAGTAACCAGTGAGCATGCTGTTAAATTCTTATCTGCTGAGTTTGATATATACATACTACATACTATATTTACAGATATAGTGATACTGGAGGGGGGCAGGGAAGTGCTGGGTAGAGAAGGCCACAGTCCCTGGCAAAGGTTCCACCCTCAGGCTTGTGCCCACAGACCTAAGTGAGAACAGGCACTCCTGTTTTCATGCCCAAATGTTGCATTTTCCAAGACCACTCTGGTCCACCATGCCCCCCATCCTGTGCTCATATAAACCCAAGAGACCATAGTGGGCACACACACAAGTGGCTGGACGTGGAGAGAAGCAGAAGCGCAGAGGAGCATACCGACAGACACCAGCAGATACTGGCAGGACCAACAAACACCACTGACAGCGGGATGACGTGGAATCTGCTCAGGCACGGTCAGAGAAGAGTGCAGTCACTGGGTGGCCCAACTCCAGGGGAAGACCACCTTCCCACTCCATCCCCCTTCTGGCTCCCCCTCCACCTTGCTGAGAGCAACTTCCACCACTCAATAAAACCTTGCACCCAACCTCTAAGCCCACATATGAGCCAATTTTTCCAGTACACTAGGGCAAGAACCCAGGATACAGAAAGCCCTCTGTCCTTGCGATAAGGAAGAGGGTCTAATTGAGCTGATTAACGTAAGCCACCTGCAGACGGCAAAACTGAAAGAGCGCACTGTAACACACGCCCGTTCGGGAGCTGTAAACACTCAACCCTAGACACTGCCATGGGGTTGGAGCGCCAAAACAGTCCCCACGACCTGCCCCTCTGCATGCTCCCACTAGGGATTTGAGCAGCAGGGCATGGAAAACCGAGCCACACCCCGTCACATGTCCTGTGAGGGGGATAAGGAAACTCCTCCCATTTTAACAGCATATAGCAGAAACATTTTTTTTTTCTTTTTGGTGTGACTTTTGATGTGAGGGTGAGGGTAGGGGGCAAATTTTCTTCTATGAAACCAACATCATGGGCTTTGGAGTCCAGGGGCTTGGGTTCAAATTCTGATTCTTTGGCTACTTAGATGTGTAATCTGAGAAAAGGCTTAACTTGTCCAAACCTTGAGTTTCTCAACTGTAAAATAAGAGCAATAAAATACAAAATTTAAGTAAAATAATGCATGTAAAATGTCCTAGCAGAGAACCTGATCCGTGGGATTTGCTAAAAAAAAAACTTCCTTCCCTACCTACGGTCTAAAAGTACAGGGTTGTAAGGGGCTTAGTCCCTATGCAAAAGAACCATGTTGAGTAAATTATCCTTCGATGCTTTCCACTTGCCAATTACAACTCTTCACAACAATAGGTGAACAGGCAGGATAACAGCAAGCTTATACATACTTTTTCCCACCAAGCAGGGATTCTAGCATCAAACATGCAATCCAACGCATCTCGCAGATTTTCACTCATGATGATGGTGCCATCAATAGCAAGTTTCAGCTCAGTGAGGGTGCTGCGGACAAGGCTGAGTACCCTTTGCATCCTGTCTATTTCCTGCCTGAGGAAAATGTTCATAGGCTGGAATGGCCCCATCTTCTGCAGCCTCTCTTTTACCTGCCATGGAGACATTCAAAGCACATGTTAACAATTAGCTACTAAGGATTTTACAGACCTTGTGCCCTGGGGCCTCTGAACAGGTCCAAATTCTTACTATTCCATAAATAATAAGCTTCTATTTTATTGCATGGCAAAAAGAAAAAAGAAAACAGAAAAAAGTATCTGTTAGATGACCAGCCCGAATTTTCATGCCATGTGGGAAGGAACAGGCAGCCATGAATTCACAGAAGAATGTAAATTGCATGACCACAACCATGTAGTCTTCTAAAGAGCAAATGCACTTATTGGGAAACTCCCTTTCTGCCAATCTGAGCTCTTTCAAACCCACATGTGGACACATACAAGCAGACATGTACACACACACAACCATTCTGCTGGCTGTCTCAAGAAACTAGAATTCTCTTTTAAGAGCTTCCTGTTTTTTCATCAAAGTAACCATCTACCCCACATCCATTCATTATCATCCTACAAGTATTTATCCAGAGTCTTCTATGTATCAGATATTGTGGTAGGCCGAGTTGCTATAACTTAAGGTAGCACTGACAAATTCAGCAAAAGGATGGAGACTCTTCTAACTCCTGCTACTTACCATGTTTATTTATGTAGTTATCATTCTATTTTTAGACATTTTTATCGCTTCCTAAATGTTTCAACCCGTTAGACATGAATGATGCCTTTCCTGATCCTATAATGAAGTGTGTTTATGAAAGCTGACAACAGTATTGATTTTTCTCCAAGCAAGTGATCAGAGGTTATTCCAGGGACATTATCCCCTTAACTAAAGGTCCTTAAGTTCAGTCTGTAGTATTAGCAGCCAAAATTAGTAGCCTGCTTAGTAGAAAACAGTGGGGGTACAGAAGACACAAAATGCTAAAGGATTCCTCTTGAAATGAGGTACAAAAGGGAAAAATACAAAGAAATAGGGTGTTTCTGTGCTAGAAGAACCAATTGATTGTCCAGGTCATCTCTTAAAACTATATGGAAAATCCGCTACCTCTTACTCTTGGTTTAATCAAATATTTTTATTATTTTATTTGTTTTGTAAATATTTTTTAAAATTTTTGTGAGTGCATATGTAATTGAATTGTTTGTAACTCAAAGGATAATTGAAGATTTAAAAAAATACTATCAGGGTAACTCTTTCCACAATACTCATTAAGATGTCAAAAAAGAAAACAATTGGGGGACAGAGGCAAGACTAGATTGCAGCTCTGACTCGGATGGACAGAGCAGTGTTCAGAGGCTTGCATCGTGAATATTAGCTCCGGATCGACTGCAAGAACAAAGCAGCAATCCCAAGAGGACCCACAGACTCTGTGAAGGAGGTAGACTGCTCCTGCAGGACCCAGGAGACACCCCAAATACTGTGAGTGCCCCAGCTGCAGAAGTGGGAAAGGGAGAGCCTCCTCTCCTGAACACACACCCCCACTGAAGAAATTGAAGCAGGCACAGCAGGACAAGCCCAATGAGAGGCTGAGCTTAGACACACCTAGCCTTGCCCCGCCTTCCCCCCCCGCCCCCTCCCCCGCCCCCCCCCACCCCGTGGTCCTTCCCTGCCCTCCCTGGTAGCGGCAGACAAAGGGCATATAATCTTGGGAGTTCTAGGGCCCCGCCCATTGCCGGTTTCTCTTCATACTACCACAGCTGATGCTCTCTGGAAAGCACCACCTCCCGGCAGGAGGTCAACCAACACAAAAACAGAGCATTAAATCACCATTGCACTCCACCGCCAACTCCACCAGAACAAATGTCGCTATCCACAGCTGTAAGACCCACAGACAATGTTCACATCACAAGACTCTGGGCAGACAACCCCCAGTACCGACCCAGAGCCTTGCTGGGTGACTAGACCCAGAAGAGAGACAACAATCACTGCAGCTCGGCTCAAAGGAAGCCACATCCATAGGAAAAGGGGGAGACTACTACATCAAGGGAACTCCCTGTGGGACAAAAGAATCTGAACAACAGCCTTCAGCCTAAGACCTTCCCTCTGACAGAGCCTACCCAAATGAGAAGGAACCAGAAAACCAACTCTGGTAATATGATAAAAATTGACATTCTAATGTCACACCTCAAGGAACTAGAGAAACAAGAAGAAACCAAACTCAAATCCAGCAGAAGAAAGGAAATAACCAAGATCAGAGCAGAACTAAATGAAATTGAAACAAAACAAAGCAATACAAAAGGTAAATGAAACAAAAAGCTGGTTATTTGAAAAGATAAATAAAATTGATAGACTATTAGCAAGATTCACTGAGAAAAGAGGAGAAAAAATCCAAATAACCTCACTAAGAAACAAAACAGGCAATATTGCAACTGACACCACTGAAATACAAGAGATCATTCAAGGCTACTATGAACACCTTTACACACATAAACCAGAAAACCCAGAAGAGATGGATAAATTCCTGGAAAAATATAGCCCTTCTAGCTTTCATCAGGAAAAATTAGATAACCCTGAACAGACCAATAACAGGTAGTGAGATTGAAATGGTAATTTAAAAATTACCAACATAAAAAAGTCCAAGACCAGAAGGATTCATAGCAGAATTCTACTAGATATTCAAAGAAGAATTAGTACCAATCCTTTTGACACTATTCTACAAGATAGAGAAAGAAGAAACCCTCCCTAATTCATTCTATGAAGCTAGCATCACCCTAATACCAAAATCAGTAAAGGACATACCCAAAAAAGAAAACTATAGACTGATACCCTTGATGAACATAGATGCCAAAATCCTTAACAAAATACCAGCTAACTGAATCCAACAACATATCAGAAAGATAATCCACCATGATCAAGTGGCTTTCATACCAGGGATGTAGGAATGGTTTAACATACACAAGTTAATAAATGAGCAGAATTAAAAACAAAAATCACATGATCATCCCAATAGATGCAGAAAAAGCATTCAACGAAATCCAGCATCTCTCTATGATTAAAACTCTCAAAAAATCAGCATACAAGGGACATACCTCAATGTAATAAAAGCCATCTATGACAAACCCACAACCAACATAATATTGAATGGAGAAAAGTTGAAAGCATTTCCTCTGAGAACCAGAACAAGACAAGGATGTCCACTCTCACCACTCCTCTTGAACATAGTACTGGAAGTCCTAGCCAGAGCAATCAGTCAAGAGAAAGAAATAAAGGGCATCCAAATCAGTAAAGAGGAAGTCAAACTGTCACTGATTGCTGACAATACGATCATTTACCTTGAAAACCCTAAAGACTCCCCCAGAAAGCTCCTGGAACTGATAAAAGAATTCAACAAAGTTTCTGGATACAAGATTAATGTACACAAATCAGTAGCTCTTCTCTACCAACAGTGACCAAGTGGAGAATCAAATCAAGAATGCAACCCCTTTTACAATAGCTGCAAAAAAATAGAATACTTAGGAATATACCTAACCAAGAAGTCAAAAGACCTCTACAAGGAAAACTACAAAACACTGCTGAAAGAAATCACAGACAACACAAACAAACGGAAACCCATCCCGTGCTCATGGATGGGTAGAATCAATATTGTGAAAATGACCACGCTGCCAAAAGCAATCTACAAATTCAATGCAATCCCCATCAAAATACCACCATTATTCTTCAAAGAATGAGAAACAAAAACTCTAAAATTCATATAGAACCAAAAAAGAGCCTGCATAGCCAAAGCAAAACTAAGCACAAAGAACAAATCAGGAGGCATCATACTACCTGATTTCAAACTATACTATAAGGCCATAGTCTCCAGAACAACATGGTACTGGTGTAAAAACAGGCACATAGACCAACTGAATAGAACAGAGAACCCAGAAATAAACCCAAATACTTACAGCCAACTGATCGTTGACAAAGCAAACAAAAACCTAAAGTGAGGAAAGACACCCTTTTTTAAAAATGGTGATGGAATAATTGGCTAGCCACATGTATAAGAATAAAACTGGACCCTCATCTCTCACCTTGTACAAAAATCAACTCAAGATGGATTAAGGACTGAAATCTAAGACCTGAAACTATAAAAATTCTAGACAATAACATTGGAAAAACCCTTCTAGACATTAGCTTAGGCAAGGATTTCATGACCAAGAACTCAAAAGCAAATGCAGTAACAACAAAGATATATAGTTGGGACCTAATTGAACTAAAGAGCTTTTACATGGTAAAAGGAACAGTCAGCACAGCGAGCAAACAACCCACAGAGTAGGAGAAAAATCTTCACAATCTATACATCTGACAAAGAACTAATATCCAGAATCACAAAGAACTCAAACAAATCAGTAAGAGAAAAACAAACAATCACATCCAAAAGTGGGCTAAGGATATGAAGAGACAATTCTCAAAAGAAGATATACAAGTGGCCAACAAACATATGAAAAAAATGCTCAACATCACTAATGATCAGGGAAATGCAAATCAAAACCACAATGCGATAACACCTTACTCCTGCAAGAATGGCTACAATCAAAAAATCAAAAACAGTAGATGTTGGCGTGGATGCAGTGATCAAGGAACACTTCTACGCCGCTGGTGAGAATGTAAACTAGTACAGCCACTATGGAAAACTGTGAAGATTCCTTTAAAAAGTAAAACTACCATTTGATCCAGCAATCCCACTACTGGGTATCTACCCAGAGGAAAAGAAGTCATTCTACAAAAAAGATACTTGCACATGCATGTTTATAGCAGCACAATTCACAATTGTAAAATCATGGAACCAACCCAAATGCCCATCAATCAATGAATGTATAAAGAAATTGCAGTATGTATGTATACCACATATATATATATGTGTGTGTGTGTGTGTGTGTGTGTGTATATGATGGAATACTACTCAGCCATTAAAAGGAATGAATTAACAGCATTTGCAGCGATCTAGATGAGATTGAGGACTATTATCTTAAGTGAAGTAACTCAGGAATGGGAAACCAAACATCACGTGTTCTCACTGATAAGTGGGAGCTAAGCTATGAGGACGCAAAGGCATAAGAATGATACAATGGACTTTGGGGACTTGGGGGGAAGAATGTGAGGGGGGCGAGGAATGAAAGATTACAAATAGGGTGCATTGTATACTGCTCAGGTGATGGGTGCACCAATATCTCACAAATCACCACTAAAGAATGTACTCATGTACCCAAATACCACCTATACCCCAATAATTCATGAAGAAAATTTAAAAGCATTAATGCAATTTAAAAAGATGTCAAAAAATTAACTTCCATCATCATAAATTTGCTTAGAAACTGCTTATATACTAAAAATACCAATTTCCAAAACTTGTGAGATGAAGAAGCTGCAGAAATAATGATATAAATGTAGACTCTGAAATAAAGAAGGCCTGAATTTTAAGGTGTACATTAAACTACATAAAATGTATTTTTCAATAATCAGGTGTTTTAATAATACTTCGCTTTCTTTTGAACAAATGCAATGTAAAGTACCTCAGGGAAGGTTCAGAAAAGCAGTCCTAACCCATCAGTACACACTTGTAAATCAATCATAACTATTAACATTCTCAACAGGTTTCCTTATGGTTTATATATTGCTTTTATATATAAGGTTTATATAGGTATATATGGTTTATATATATAAGATTACATTACATTCACGGATGCAAAAACTTCTTTATCTGGTTCTTTAAGAAGCTGGTTTTTAAAATAATGTTTTTTAATTTCAGGAAAATTATTTTTTGCCCTCCTTTCTTCTTCCTCACTCTCCCAACCAAAGCTATCCAACCCAGCTGACATTCTGTTAGAATTTCATCAACTCACTTCGAAGGGGACATAGTCTGGGGGCAGTTTCTCCAGCATATCATCAGCCAGCCGGACCACCACCGCTTCCCGGGTCTCATCCCCTCCGCCAGAGCTGTCCTTGGGTTGGATGCCTAGAATGGTGTCCAGCACGCCCTTGGCCAGCTTGCTCTGATAGGTGATGTCAGCATTGGGGTGCAGCCCAAACACCTCAGGACTGTCGTAGGCAGGCAAACTCTGAACAACAAACACCTCAGATAAGTACAGACTGCCAATATAAGCACCGTCTAAATGTCACTATCTTGGGAAACAAAAATGCTTTTATGAGGATATGCATTGACTTAAGTCTTATTGGTGTCAAGTTACAAACCTCGATAATTTCCCCAGAAAATAATCAAAAGTTTCCTTTAAAAACCAATTAACATTGAGAAACAGACACTAGGCTCATGGCTCTTTACAATCTGCACCTCAAATAAAATTGAATCAGAGAGAGACTGTCTTGTTATACAACATGCGAGATAGAAAAGGAGTTGTGGATTCGTGTTTTGCTTTCTGATGGTCTAACTGAATTCAAACCAGTTGTCCAAATCAATGTTGTATAGCTAATGGTTATTATGTTTAGAAGAAACCAGGTAATGACAGCTTTAGTGATCATGGTCCAAATAAAGGCAGCAGGTAGGAGTTGTACTCTCCCAAGGAAAAAGACAGAGACTAGGAAAAGAGATACACTGAGAAAGCAACAGAGTCAGAGAGAAAAAACAGACAGAGATGTGTGGGACACAGGCAGAAGCAGAAGCAGGCAAAAAGATCCCCCAACTGTTTGAAAAAAAGGACAATTTACTGACAATTTGACACATATTTCTATGTATGAATCTTATCCTTAACTTAATTATTGTCATACTTACATTTCCCTCCCTTCCTCTCCCTCATTTTATTCCCTCTTGCATAATGTCTTCTGATGAGCTACCTCAAATGCACTGTGAGATGGGGTGTATATAAAAAATATATGTACAGGCACCCCTAAATTTATACCTTCATGGCCACTTTTCCTATTCAGTGCTGATGATTTAAAGATACATGCAGTACAGTAAGACAAATATATTTGCTGATTTGAATTAATAAAAGTGCAGAGGTGGTAATATATGATAAACTCATTACATTTATATATCAAAAAACATGTAAATATACTGATAAATTCAGCTCTCTGGGGCTGTTATGTTTTAGTTTGTTTACTCTGAGATCAATCTTAAGAGACCAAAGAGATGACTAAATAATGATATAATGAATTTTAGGTATAGAGAAAGAGGACGCAGTCACCTTAAAAATCAGAATTTTTTCCCTACGTATTCCCAAACAGCCTGTAGAAATCTACCTATTTCTTCTTATGTCAGTGCTTCTCAACCAGGGACAATTTTGCCCCCCCAGGGCACATTTGGCAATTTCAGGAAGCATTTTTGGTTCTTGCAGCTGGGTAGGGGGTTGTTATTGGCATCCCGTGGACAGAGGCCAGGGATGCTGCTAAACAGCACAGGCCAGCCCCCTATGACAGAGAATGATCCAACCCTGAATGTCAATAGTGCCAAGGTTGAGAAACTCTGTCTTGGAGGAAGCTCTTACACAAAGCAGCCTCCTGGACATATCCTTAAGCCTGTCCATTGGGCCAAGGTTAAGGAGCAGATGTCATGAGATTAGTCAAATGGATTGGAAAACAGACAAATTGGGTCGAGAAGCTGCCTTGGCCCTACTGCTGTGGCAGCCGAAGTTTCACAGACACAGAACTCCAGGTGATTTGTGTAGGTCTCCTAGTTCTAAATCTCCCTAATCTATCATCTTCCTCAAAGAAAATTCCTCTCTAGGGCATTAAAAAAGAGGAAGATGGAAACACGATTCACACAAAACACACACTCAGAACAAACATAAACATTTTAATCATCCGTTGAGTATAAAAATACAAAGAAAGCCTTCACAGCAAAAGCATTAGTATATATCACCATTAAAATTTATGGTAAAAGCAACATAGACAGTATAATTAATACCCAAAACTCAAATGGCTACAGATATTTGCTCTACGCATAAAATTCTGAAGTTGACAAACCTGGATATATTGAAGATAGTTATCCACTGTGCTGCATCTTGGAATGTTGTATCCTTGGTAAAAATTGAAATCTAATCCAAACATACTTTCGCTGAACCAAACCTTAGCAAATGTGTTCAACAATCTCTTATCATAGTTGTCAGTGACTCTGCCTCCATATTGAATCTCTCCTATCATGTAGCGGACAGTGGTCCAGGAGACGCCCTGGGACAATTGATAGAATAATTATGTAGAAGTGATTACTGTTGCATTATTATTTCCCTGCCAAGTCACACCCATGTATTCACTTTCAACATCATTCATTCAGTCAGGCATTCTTCCTCAGTACTGCAAAGAGAAAGTGCAGGAAGAAAAGTAAAATGGTAAAGAAGAGTAGTTACTCAATGCTCACGTCCATGATTTGAAATAGCCTTCCTTGATGCATTCGTATGTTTTCATACTTCAATATAAATAGAAAATAGTGTTTGCTTTTGAGCTTATTGAGGCAGTTCTTTAGAAAGCACACACTTCAAACTAATCGGGACCCCCATTTTCATTTTCTAGGATTTTGAAGAACAAGCTTCCCCACCCACACCCCCTGACACAGGCCCCTTGAGGCTGTCTTCTTTGGAATGTCAACTTACCTTTGAGAAATAAAATAATAATCAAAACTTGACCAGTATTTCCTGAAATCAAGAGGCAAGTGTGACCCAAATTGCTAAGACTTCAAGATGACTTTGCAAGCACAGCAAATTCTCTTATATAATTTACCCCAAAGCTAGGAGGTCCTGTGAGCTTGATGGCCCAAGGCCACAGCCACCAGAGGCACGAGACAGCACGCACAGCAGTACCTTTTTGACATCCATGTCATCCAAGTGGTTTTGGATGAACTGCACAGTGGCATTAAAGTCCGCCTGGTTAAATTCATAGGGGATATTCCACCCCAGGGCACCGAACTTGCGCCTCTCCTGGACGGTGGAGTGCAGGAAAGCCACTGCGTACAACATGGGCTTCCACTGGGACCCGGAGGTCACGTCCAGCAGGTCTTGGCTCACACCTGTTGTGGTCAGTTGGGTGAAAAATGTATCATCTCTCAAATGTCTTTATTTTCTACTACTTTTAAAAGTAATCATTTTTGTAAGTCCCTGATACTAAAATTCACTTACTTTGGATTATTTTTATGACACTTGAGTGACAATAATAATTTAACTTTTGGGTGTCCAGAGGCCATTTCTTTCTGAAAAATCTTCAAAGAGACTTTGGGGAGAGGAGGAGCTTGCTAACATGGGTCAAGTTCCTGCCAATCTAGCAAGATCATATGAGGGCGAAATCAAGATGGAAAGGTAACGACAGTTAAACAAATTCTGCCGCTATTACTGTAACTACTACTCTATTATTATTACTGCTGTTTTGAGCATATACTTGGGGCACATACTTTTAACTAATTTTATATTAATTAAGATAGTATATATAGAAGCCTTTTGCACCTGAGTACATGGCTCCAAATAATGATTGATACATATGCATATACTATATTGTATATATAATTAGATTTATTTATTTTATTTTACTGCCATTATCCTTCCACCTCTATTTTATCCCCACATTTGTCTTATAGATTGGCGGGAATTTCAGCCTTGTTAACAACTCCCCAGAAGTCTCTTTGCAGGTTTTCCAGATTGAAATACAATAATTATATTTATTATGGTTATGAAATACATGATTTTAGTTACAATTTATTTCAATTCTCCTGGAGAGATTCTCTTGTCCCTGTTTTATATATGAGAAAATTGAAACTCAGATTGAGTGACTCGCACCCAAGAGAACAAAGTAATTGTCAACAGCAAGGGCCAGAATCAGGATTTCTGACTGAAAGTTCCATGTTCTTTTCATGACCACAAATCCCATACATAAAGCTATGAAGCAGAAGAGGCAGCGGCCAAGAGAGCGACCTCAGCCCCAGTCGTGATGGGGGCATTTGGGCCTGAGTTTGCTGCCACTGGATTTTTAACTTAGCTACCTTCTGACATATGGCCCTAATGAAAGGCAGGCAGACATCACCATAATTCAGACTCTCCTCTTGGAAGAGACTACTGTACTACTTTAGGTATGGAGCACAGAGACCATAAATGACAAAATTGTTCATTTTTGATGTTAATTATGTCTAGCTGGAGAACAGCATGGGCTTAAATAGGGCAGTACTGGGAAAATAGGAAACTAGAAGGTAGGAATCATGAACTCTGATTCGTTAACACTGCCGGGGCATATTTACAAAAGAGGACCATCACCTCCCCAATCAGGTTAAACAGCAGTACTATTTGCTATAACCGTATCCTAGTTAATCTTTTTATAATTTTTTTTAGGAAAACAATTTAAGTACAGAGAACTCCTATAGACTCAGAAGTATTTCTGGACTCACCACCATATGTTCTTTTCAGTCCTGCCCGGAGGCCCTGTGGAGGATCGTTGGCAAATTTAATGGACATCTGAAGGAGTGTGATGGGAAACTGCTTATGAACCTCGGTGGTCATCCAGAGGCGGAATGCATCATGTACAAGCTCAGTTTCTATGATTATGTCCATCAGCTCATCCATGAAATCAAGTCCCAGATGGCAGTTCTGCAGAAGTGCCCATCCTCCCTAAGTCAACCGCAGTAAATGGAAGTTAGGTGGTTTTGTGTTTCACCCAAATTCGAAATTACGACATTCTTTAGAAATTAAGTAATTACAATTTAAGCCGGGCGCAGTGGCTCACGCTTGTAATCCCAGCACTTTGGGAGGCCGAGGTGGGCAGATCACGAGGTCAGGAGATTGAGACCACGATGAAACCCCGTCTCTACTAAAAATATAAAAAATTAGCCAGGCGTGGTGGCAGGTGCCTGTAGTCCCAGCTACTCAGGAGGCCGAGGCAGGAGAATGGCGTGAACCCGGGAGGCAGAGCTTGCAGTGAGCCGAGGTCGAGATCGCGCCACTGCACTCCGGCCTGGGCTACATAAACCACTTTAAATTAATCTAGGTCAAATCTCAGAAAACAAAAATGTTTAATTGAGACAAGCTATTTTTTTTAGTCGATGCATTTGTTCCAGTATACACTAGTATGCAATTGTACCAATACTATGTGGTTGCAATCATGAATTTAATCAAAGTTAAACATAAAAGGACTTCCAAGTAAAGATGGTGATTGAAAACATCCATTTAACTCAGATCCCTCCCCAAATTCCATTAAAACTACAATGAAGAAAATTTTTAAAGGCATGAACTCTTAAGGACAGTGACAGAGAGAGTGAAGACATTATCACTAACATTTAAAAGAGGTTCAAGAAAGTTGAATCCTAAACTAGCATTTAGAGAAAGCTGAGATGCAACCTGATATATACCACATAACTCCCCAAATTCTGCCTGCCTTAATGAAAAATGAGAAGTTGATTTTCTACAGAAGGCAAAACAGGGTCTAGATTGGAGGATACCAGCACACTGAAGGAATAGGTACTACACTGAAATCAGGTGGAAGAATGATTACCTGCTGAATTTTGAGACCTGCAACTTCCTGCCTCCCACTAGTTCTCAGAATCCTGGCAACAGAGCATACACCCTTTAGAATGTGGAAGAACCTTCCCTGGGAATCTGACCACACTAAAAAGAGCAAGAGCTTTAGAAAATAATAAGCCATATTTTTTGCCTGAATTATACCATAAGTATAGGAAGATCTTTGTGTAATGCAACTCAGGCAAAATTGGGGGTCATGTAACAATAATTTCCTCAATATCTAATCTATAAAATATTTTTGCTAAAATCATCTACAAGATTCAGATCATAATCTTAAGGTGTTTTTCTATAACCCTTCTTAGATCACTGACTAGAGCAGCATGAGTTGTGTCTTTCCATAAAAAAAAAAAAAAAAGCATTAGATCTAAAGTCTTAGCAGTTACCTGTAAAACTGATAATTTAGAGATTTCACATTTCCCTTATATTTTCTTCAGAAATTTACAGTACTGATGAATAAATTATCCAACCTTTACCCTTTGAAAATTTCAATTGATACCATTTGCAATTCAAAACAAAAAGGAAATTCAATATAAAACACAGCAACTACAAAAAGACTTCAGCTTCTCTCTTTTATCCAGCATAGAAGTGAACCCTGCCCTGAGATTCCTTCTTTTGTATTTTGCTTTGTTTTGGTTTTTGAGAAAGGGTCTCATTCTGTCACCCAGGCTGGACTGCAGTGACTGCAGCCTCTACCTTCCCAGATCAAGTGATCCTCCCACCTCAGCCACCAACGTAGATGGGACCACAGGCACATGCCATGATGTCCAGGTAATTTTTTTTGTAAAGATGGGGTCTATATTACCCAGGTTGGTCTTGAACTCCTGGGCTCAAGCAATCCTTAGCCTTGGCCTCCCAAAGTGCTGAGATTACAGTTGTGAGGCATCACACCCAGGTGATCTAAACTTCTTAGGTGAGAACTCTGATGTCCCATCTTCACCCCCAGAATCCCATTTCTTTGGGATTGCCATTCTCTGCATTAAATGTTTGCTTTCAACTTACTGAGTAGACCATCTACTTTGCTATCCTTGGGTAGTTGACTTATTTGCGGCATTGCCTCAAAAGTTTTAATGTTAGCTTAAATTAAAAAAAAAAAAATGCTGTTTAGTAAACAGCAGGCAACATGTAAATTTAAACTCCTAATGATTTATATTTTTCTTCTGCACTGCTATTCCATAATCTGTAATATGAACAGCATGGCACAAAAGTAGACACTCAGCCTTACGTTCGCCATGGTCTGCTGCAAGAGCTTCCGAGCATGGACCTCCTGGCCCTGGCCCATGGACACATAACGGGTTTCTATTTTTAATCTCTTCCCTAAGGCAATGATGGAATCTGTGGGGTCTGAGCCCATAGACAGGAGACAGATGAGTGGCGTCCGTGGATCAGATTCCTCCCACATCTTCTCCAAGTCTAGAATAACACCTTCGGCATATTTGTCTCCCATGGAGTCCACGATGTACTTGCGGGCCTGCCAAAAACAGCACACAAGTCAGCAAAAGCTGTTCCAACTATTTCATGTGGATAATGTAGTAGAGTTTCCAAAATTCATTTTTGTAATGATCTCAATGATGTCCACAGTAACCCTGTCAGGGAAACAGGGTAGAGACTGTCTTGTCATATTTGTTTGTTTACATCTCCATTCTGTAGGTGGGACGACTGTGTTGCTTACTCAGTACAAAATCAGACAGTCAAAAGAAACAAAGTTGTATGACTCCTGGTCTGAAACCCATTTCAATATACTGGTTGCTTCCTGCCACACCAGAAAATAAAAATACTGGGAAACTATTGTTTAGGATGCTCTAAGGCAAATATTTGTGCATGTAAACAATCAAGTAAGCAACACAATACCTGCAATGCAATAGGTACTGATCAAACAGATAATTACTGAGTGACTACTTGCATGAAATGTACTGGATATTTGTTGAATGAATGAATGAATGAATGAGTTTTTAAAGATTTAATTCATATTCTCTCTCCTCATCATTGTCGCCGTTCCTTCCCATATTTGGTTCATCCCTTTACCATTAATTTTGTTTTGAATGAAATCTATACTCAAAATATCACAGATTTTGTCAACTTTATTACAACCATAGAAACACATTCTGGTAACAACAAATTCCTTTTTCAAATGAGGTGAAAGAATTATAATTTATTTTTCAACAAATGGTATTGTGAATACGACCCTTAGTCTATATTCTCTGCCTTCTATATAATTAAATTCCCTCAAAAACATTTTTCCTCCTATTCGTGTGACCTTCTTCCACCTTAGATGGGTAAAACTCAAGTTTCTCTCCCCAGCAGCATTCCCCACGAAAATCATTTTCACATAACTTAGGCATGGGTGCAACATGACCTGTAACTCTCCCAAGGGCTAGGCAGGTGAGCCTCCCCACTCCAATTCCCATAGAAACACAAAACAGCTTCAGATGGAGCTTCCCTTGAATCAGACAGGTTTCAGATAGACCTGGACCAAAGGGGAGCCAGAGCTGGTTCAGTCATCATCCTTGACTTTAAAACATCAGAGTTTGATTTTCAGCCAGTAATGTGGGCTCATCCCTCATCTTCAATATCTTGCTATCCCCTATTCATCCTCAAAATGTACTCCAAGCATCTGAGCTTACAAATTGGTGTGATGTTTCCCACTTGTGTTTGCCTTCTTTGTGGGTTACAATGAAAGAGAAGTGGCCATCACAGAGGAATCTCCTGGCTTACTATGTCCTCTCATAGCTTAGTAAGAGAGGTAAAATGGGTGCCACATGAGTCTAGACTGTTGAACGACTGGCTTGGTCCTACTTTCTGATTCCACCTGGTGTGTGGAGACTTCTCACACAAGCTTCATCACTCGTATAGCCAGGTAAAGGGTGTCTGAAACTTGGTCATCATGAAATGTCCATCTTCCTCATGAGAGTGCAAAACACAAAAAGAGGAGCGTTCACTCACATTCCCTAACTCAGACCAGCTAATGCAGAAACAGCTGGGCCATTTTACTGTGGATCTCTTCTCCTTCTTCTAAAGTCATAATCCTCCTCATAAAGTCCATTCCCCCATACCAATGGCAGATTAAGAGGCATGCCAACTTTGTAGAATACACAGGATTTCCTGCCTTGGCAACTATTTCTAGATGACTTTGGGGAAGGACCTCTACCTGGTTTCCCAAAGGAAGAAGAAATGGTGGTCAGGCCCTCTTTGACAGGACTAGGCCACTGGCAATGAAATGACAAACAGCACCTCGGCTCCTCACCCACAAAGAGGTTCACACCTTCTGACCTTCCTCTTTATTAGTTCAGTGGCTGGGAGGTTTTGAGGAGGTGAATTTCAGTCCAGTTGAATTTGAGGCACAGGATGCTATTTATTTTCACGCCTCTCAATACTTTTTCTAGGTTGGGCAGATCCAATATCTAAATCTCTACCTTGCATACAAAAACTTACATATTTTTCTACAGCCTCTGGCAGGTGTTTGATAAGTTTGACTGCCATGTTCTTTGACTTCCCCAAATGTCTACTCCATGTGCACATTCAGTCACAGTCACCAAAGCAGGGAGTACTGTGATCAGGAAGGACTTCAAAGGCTGGACACTGAGGCATTCCACAGTTGCAGCGGTTTCTCAGCCACATGTACCACCATCACTGCAGCATCTCTACAGTGCAACTCATCAAGATTCAAGCACTTTCTACCCCAGGGTAGCAAAGGTCGCAACATGGCCAATTCTGCCATATAACTCAGCATTGACCCAGTTCAGGTATTATCATCCAAGCCATGAGTTAACATGCTAGGATACTAAGGGGTCAGATGGTAAATATTTTAGACTTTGGTGGCCAAATCATCTCTATTGCAACTCAACTCTGCCATTGTTGCACAAAAGCAGTCATAGGCACACAAATAAAAAGCATGGTTATGTTCCAACGAAATGTTAGGGACACTGAAGTGTGAATGTTATACAGTCTTCACTTATCACAAAATATTAGTCTTCTGGTGATTTTTTTCAGGTATTTAAAAATATAATTCTTAAGTAGCCAGCTGAACATAAACAGACAGTGGGCCAAATGTTGTTGGCAGGCCCTACTTTGCCAACCTCTGGAACAGATAACAACAGGGAAGGCTGCTTCACTTATATCTGGAGAAAGGACCTTTGGTCATAATTCCAGTTCCTGGGAAGGGATATTCTTAAATACGGTCACAGTCAAGGTTCAAATTGGCTCTAAGCCCAAAGGATGTAATGAGTCTATGGGGCAAATACGTAATATGCAAGGATGCTCAGCAACCCCAGGTAAGGCCCCACTGCAGTAGGCATGGATCTGAAACCACACATGTGTGCATTAGAAAGAGCACATTTCTTCATCTTCTTTACCTCAACTTCAACCCAACACCCTGCATTATCTCACCGGGCCAGTAGGATAATAATTCCAGGCATCACTCAGTCTCCCCATCTTCCCAAAGTCTTGGGAGCCCATCCCTTGCACCAGTGTGCCCTAGATGCAGGACATGGAATCAAAGGAAATTATTTTGGAGATTCAAGATTTAAGGACTGCCCTGCTGTGCTTCAGACTTGCATAGGGCCTACTAGTCCTTTCTTTTGGCCAATTTCTCCCTTCTGGGATGATAATATGCCTTACTACCATTGTATCTTGGGAGTAAATAATTTGTTTTGATTTTACAGGCTCATAGGTGGGAGGAGATTCAGAGGGATGAGTCTCAGAGGGACTTAGGACTTTGGACTTGATGCTATGACAAGACTTTGGGGGATGATTAAGAAGAGATGATTGAATTTTGCAATGTGAGAAGGACATGAGATTTGAGGGGCCATGGGAAGAATAATATAGTTTGAATGTTTGCCCCCTTCAAATCTCATGTTGAACTGTAATCCCCAGGGATGGAGGTGGGGCCTGGTGGGGGGTGTTTGGCTCATAGAGATGAGTCCCACAGAATGGCTTGGTGCTGTACTCATGATAGTGAGTGAGTTCTTCCCAGATCTGGTTGTTTAAAAGTGTGCAGCATCTCCCCACTCTCTCTTGCTCTGGCTCTCGCCATGTGACATGCCAGCTCCTCCTGCACCTTCTGCCATGATTGAAAGTTTCCTGAAGCCTCACCAGAAGCTGAGCAGATGCCAGCCCCATGCTTCCTGTACAACCTGCAGAACCATGAGCCAATGAAACCTCTTTTCTTTATAAATTACCCAGTCTCAGGTATTTATTTATAGCAGTACAAAAACTAACAAACCATGTTGGATGATTCACCTCATGCAACAGATATAAACCTTGGCCCATGACCCTCTCCTCTGTCCCAGGCAGTGCAACAGGTTTTAAGACTAGAGAAGTTCACTAACAAATGGTCCAGCCCTTATGAAGCTTGACCCCCACCTCCATGCCAGGATGAGACATACATTGAGCAAGTAATAGCAAAATAACTAGTTTGAAGGATTTATGACTTGCAGGGTGACATGAAAGTATGAAACCGATTAATCTTGCAGAAATATATCAGAGAAGGCTCCCTTGTGAAAGAAGCATTTAAGCTGTTGCTTGGAGAATGAATGGGATTTATTGAGGCAAAGAGGACAGCTAAGTGGGTCAGAGCCTGTGCATTCTATGCAGAAGAAACATATGCAGAGACCATGAAGCAGAAAAGAGCAAGTCACTGGCTAGGGACAGGAGGACACCCATAATAAGTGATGTAAGAGTTAATTCAGGTGTGGCAAGCCAGACTTCTGCACAGCCTGCCAGCCTTTAAAGACAGCCAACACGCCACTGAGGAGTGCTGCATTTTCATACATTGCTCTTCACACGACTCTGCAGAACTTGTTCATCCCCATATGTGGTCCCAACGCAACAGATTCAGCCTGTGAATGGGGGAGAAAATGAACAAACAACCTGCACACCTGTGCCAACCTCCTTTTGTTGAGTATTTGTTTTTTGAGATGGAGTCTCACCCTGACACCTAGGCTGGGTGCAGTGGCACAATCTCGGCTCACTGCAGCCTCCACTTTCCGAGTCCAAGCGATTCTCCTGCCTCAGCCTCCCAAGTAGCTGGAATTACACGTGCTGCCACCATGCCTGGCTAATTTCCGCATTTTTAGTAGAAACAGGTTTTACCATGTTGGCCAGGCTGGTCTTGAACTCCTGACCTCGTGATCCACCTGCCTCACCCTCCCAAAGTGCTGGGATTACAGGTGTGAGCCACCGTGCCCAGCCTGTTGAGGATTTTTAAGACACAAATGTGTACCTCTCAGGAGACACACTCTGAGAGTGCAGCATTTTTGCAATCAGGCATGCCCAGATGTGGACAGTCACACTCAGCCAAAATGCAGAGAATAAGAAATGCATATAGCCTATGGGGAATGGGATTGAATGTATCTACATTGTAGACCTTCTAATAAACTTCCCAGAAAGTTGTTTTCAACCTTCCCAGAAAGGTTGAAAATCACAAAAGGATTCTAAAAGGAGAATAAGAACTTGAGAGGAGAGAACATTTATCCAATGGACGTTCTAAACCTTGTTTAGCACTTGGGTGTCATAAGGGCCATGGGAAGACACCACAGGACTTGAAAAGTCAATGAATGGCGCCATCTTTGCATTTCTTCCAGCATGTGCTGGGTGGACTAGGGTACAGAAGAAGAAATGTAAGGAGAACAGGTACGAGGCCATGGCTGTGGTAAGTCCAGGGATCAGAGAAGCTGGAATGAAGATAAAGTTACAAAAAAAAGAGTTACTTAAATCTCAGCATTGAACCAAATAGAGTTTCTGGAAAAAGATAAGAAAGAGACTACTCAAACATTTCTTTCCACATTGTCCTTAAGTAAGGCAACCATTTGACAATTCAGTTGGGCAGGATAAAAGTAATGAAACTGAGAAGAAAAACTGAAAGGAAAGGTGATCTCAGTGCCCCAAACTGTGAAACTCATTTTTCTTTTCTCAATAAATCATTGAATCTGGTTGTTTTCACGATTCCACAGTACCTAAGTGCACTTGGAGGTAGATACTCCATAAGTTTTCAACACTCCCTCTGGAGAATGAAGGAGAATGTATCTTACATTCTATTATAAACCCAAGGCTATTGCTACTCCACAGCTTATTTGGAAAAGCCCTTAATGAGTCAACCTGGGCTGAGTATCAGAGTTAAACTTTTCATCATAAAGGCAAGACACAAGTCCTTATAGTGGGTAAAGTCCCATGATACTAAGCCAGCAAATTAAAGGTCTTTAAACAGATGAATCACCTGGAGGCAGGATTCACATTTAAACCATATGTGAAATTCAGTTGTAAGACAACCTACTGACATCTAGAGCTGTGACATTCTTCTGGAGAAATGACTACGGTTTGGGCACACTGTCCCTCCCCCAGTCTCTTCACCCTAACGCCTTTATATTCTTCCTGCTTTCAGAAACACTGTTTTACTACCAGCAAAATGGAGCAGCCATATAATTTTTGATTGAATATGAAATAATATAAAAGAATAATGTAAATATGTAATATAAAATTACATATTTTATATTATGTAAATATGTAATATAAAATATTAAATATGTAATAGTAAATATGTAATATAAAATAATGTAATATAAAAGAATAATATAAAAGAATAACCTTTATGTTATACCTATGTACCGACCTTAGAATCATGGTTTTCTCATTTACTCCTATTGTGGCAGTCAGGTCAGAAAAAGTTGCTAAATCACTTAGCCCAAACGTATGTCTCAATACATTTATTTGTGGTTTACGTTTCCATTTTTCACACACATTGCTAGAAAATCACAGATGCCTACAGGAAAATTCTCACTGGAATTCACATTTTAAATAATTTTTTAATTTAAAAGAAAACTATCTTTAAAAATATTATCTCATTTTCCTCTTTAATATGGACTTTTTACCTGGGCAATGGTTCTGTCTGGACACCACGATCTAATAAGGAGAAGACGTCTGAAGCAGTCGAGAAATTTACCATAGGCGTTTGGAAGAGGTTCCTCCTCTGGGTTTTCCTTATCAAACCAAATTTTCCACATTTTCTCATTTCTCGATATCTGAAAATACCATGGGATAAAAAATGTGTCATGCCACCCAACAATCTTTCAGTAACAGGTCATAGATATGTTTCATCAAACCTCTGACCTCTCCAGATATGTGTAAATTATATTCCTTGGTTATTTTTTTATTTTATATTATATGCCAAAAAGTTTGATTGTCTAAAATCTAATGTCATTTGCTCCAAAGTCAGTCTATATTAACATCAGCCTACAACTACATTTCAAAGTAGGGAGAGTCCTTGGATGTTTAATTTCTTCTTTGCCTTTGTGGTAACAAATTTGTAAAGAATACAACAAAATCAATGGAAACTCATTTTCATTATTTCAACGAAGTCTGATTTGCTCCACAAAATCTTCTCATGTCAGGAACCAAATCTCATTCACTAATGTTTCCTCATTTCCCAGGACCACTCCTGACACAAAAGAAGACATACAATACATGTTTATTATTGAATGAACAGCTTTCTGATCAATACTCTATTAATCTAGAGTAATTGGAAATATGCCAGTTAATATCATCAAATGAATGATCAGACACCTGCTACCCTTAGGCAACTGGGAAAGAGAAAAAGGACATAGTACATTATCCTCTGCAGCTTAAAACACCAGAGAGAGGTAGGGATTACATAGTAAGCAGATCAGAAACACCGAACAAACAAACAATGTCTACAGATAAATATCATCTTATGTTCTCTGATATATTCCCTTTCATTAAGAGTTCAAATGTCTTTCTTGGGATATAATCAAAGGCAAATCATTCCAGGTTCATATTTAGAAAGTACCATGTAAGAATAAAAATAGTAACTTCTTTCAATCATGAAAGACTACTTAATATTGAGGGGTTTCATGCCTAAGATATCATCTCCAGAAGGTAGCAACTTCAATATCAATGGTCTGGGCAAGGTCGCTGGGGGTAACTCTATAGAGGAATAACTCAGAAGAATGGTTTGTACCCCCAAGTACACAGTAGTAATAAAAAACATCACCAGTGATAAGCCAAAACATAAAAGTATAGCAGAACATAAGCAACTGGCCAACATAAACTGGGGAAGTCAAGAACCAACTTTAAGACATTTCCTGGCCAAAAAAAAAGCCTTCAACTTATAGCTGAATAAAGCCAGCCTGCTGCCAATCTCATTTCTCTATGGTCAGCTGATTTTCAAGAATCTGTTTCTTGGCTCGTCCCAATTTAATTCTCTATACCCAGCTTCCATGATTCCAGCACATGCAGAGTTCATCAGGAGCTAGCTGATTCTAGAAGGATGATAACTTCTAAAGACAAGAGGCCAAGTGCTTGCATGAGATTCATACCCAGGTGCCTAACTAAGTCAAATAATGGGAAGGGCAAGAGGGGAAGAAGAAGAAGAGACAGAGAAACAAGAGGCAAGAAAGGAAATTTAGCATTTAGAGGTAGGCTGTTCATATGTCTTTTCATTTAACCTCTAGAAAGAAGGAAACGCCTCTTTAAGTCTAATTATTTATTCTAATTGGATCTATCAGTTTTTCTACTTCTGGACCTCCGATTGGTGATACTAACATATGGCCCAGGATGACACCAGTTAAAGTTCCTGGGCACATTTCTTCCTGTAAGACTCAATGATGAGTGGAGTATGCTTTATCAGAGTGCAGGTGAGCCTCGAGGAAGGTCAAGTATATGTAACACCATATTAAGAGTGCAATATTAAGAACTATCTCTCTTCCACAAATATTATATCTAGTGATAAATCAGAAAGCTGCTCAACTTGACATTAGCTTAAGTTAATTCAAAGCACAGTTACCTGGTCAAGGACATCTGAAAACTGTCTAAGTTTGCTAAGTTCCACCAAATTCAGCCACGTCATGTCCAGGATCCATTTTGATGGTTTTGGAGGACAAGCTTTAAGGTCTAATGAGGCACCTCCTTTAAAAGTAAACATTAAATTATCAGATTTTCCTTCCTTCACTGTGAAACAATCTATTTAGTAAAATTTGTATTAAACTATTTTAATTTCAATTATTTTACTACTTTTACTTTTTTAAGCACAGAAATATAAATCATAGTGAAAAACATGCAACATTTAATAAATCAATAGGTAATTTTAGAAAAACCCATTTAATCACCAGTAATATAACTTTGGAACCAGGCAGATGCGGGATTCTGTCCTAGTCTTCCCTGGACAATGTCTGAGACAAACCATTTCATTTGTCTGGGTCTCTAATTCCAAATAAGTGAAATAAGAATAATTAAACCTGTGTCATGATGCATCTGTGTAAAGCACACAAAACAGGATAGACAAATGGCAGAGGGTCACTAAATGAGCAACAATTGCCAATATTAAGAATTGCCCAACGTTAGCACAAGCCAATATTCAATAGATAATTAACCTAGAAAATTTAGTAGTACTAGATGTGTTTGAAGGATTCTCTTCTATAAATCAGTATATTACTTACATCTACCTTGAACACACCCCAAGGGTTCCATGCTATATCACTTATGTCTGTGGTTATACCCTAAGTTAATCACAACAAACATTTCCATTTGGTACTGACCCTTATCTTTTCGCTGATGATTTACCAAAGCTCATGTAACCCACATAACTCTGACAGTAATGTAAGAAAAATGATACCTTAAAAATGTTTTTGTTGCCCACTTCAGAACAATTGAATGTGTGAGCAATTGTATTTTAAGAAAGAGTTAGGAAGTCTTCTCTAGGATAAAATATACTGTTTAATAAATACCATCTACTGAAGAATATCGAGGAAAATATGCTGTATGCATTATTCTTTTTTTTTTTTTTTTTTTTAGACGGAGTCTCGTTCTGTCACCCAGGCTGGAGTGCAGTGGCGCAATCTTGGCTCACTGCAAGCTCCGCCTCCCAGGTTCACGCCATTCTCCTGCCTCAGCCTCCAGACTAGCTGGGACTACAGGCACCCGGCACCATGACCAGCTAATTTTTCATATTTTTAGTGGAGAAGGGGTTTCACCGTGTTAGCCAGGATGGTATCAATCTCCTGACCTCATGATCCACCCACCTTGGCCTCCCAAAGTGCTGTCTTTTTTCTTTTCTTTTCTTTTCTTTCAGACGGAGTTTCACTTTTGTTGCCCAGGCTGGAGTGCAATGGCGTGATCTCGGCTCACAACCTCCGCCTCTCAGGTTCAAGTGATTCTCCTGCCTCACCCTCCCAAGTAACTTGGATTACAGGTATGCACCACCATGCCTGGCTAATTTTGTATTTTTAGTAAAGACAGGGTTTCTCTATGTGTTTCAGGCTGGTCTCGAACTCCTGACCCCAGGTGATTTGCCCGCCTCAGCCTCCCTCCCAAAGCACTGGAATTAAAGGCGTGAGCCACCATGTCCAGCCTACGCATTACTCTTAAAATGATAAAATCAATCCATTTGGCCACTTTAAAAATCTTTGAGCAGAGTAGGTTATAAACAAATGATAATACTCAAGATATCCACTGAGCTAATCTCTATTTTATCCAGGCATCTTGTACACTACTAAATTGTTACTTTTTGCCAAATCCATCAAAATGTATTTACAATGAGGTAAGTATGGCCTTGAAGTCAATTTGATGAAAATATTGTAAATATTTTCATAAAATGAAAACAGATTGTTTTAACACCGGTGAGCAAAAACCTAAAGACAATGCATTGTGTTGAATAAAATGTTGCACCTTAGCAACTGCCCATTTTCCAACAAACTGAAAAGAATAACATACCCACCAGAGGGTTAGGGAAAGGCTATTCATGAAAAGGAAAGAGTGTTCCTCGCAGGCCAGAGTATTATTCATTGTTTATTAGTGGGTAACTATGTTTTGACTAACCTGCCTGCTCCCAAAGTACACAATTAGGCACAAAGAGTGATTGTAACTTGGGGGAGAGGACATATTTCTGAATAATGTGACAACAAATTACATAGACCCTTGAAAGATAAATAGCTGAGAAAGGAATAATTTGAAATAGTTGTCTAGATGATTGAGAGTTTTGCTGTTCCCTTCTTTTCTCAAACTCTTGCTTTGAGAAAAAAAAAAAAGTAAGTTTGGGTTTTTACCATAATACTTTGTGAAAATGATACACGCTTACAATGAAAGTTTTATACAAGCTATGCCACACAATCGTAAACTGTCACAGCTAAGGCATACTTAGAGAATAATCTGGGCTGAGCCTTTCCCATCTCAGAAATGACTAAAAGACCAGCATCAAAACACCGTTGAGGTCAAGAACAGTGGCCTACATCTGTAATCCCAGGACTTCGGGTGGAAAGGCAAGAGGATAGCTTAACCCAGAAGTTTGAGATCAGCTGGGGCAACATAATGCCACCTCATCTCTACAAAAAATTTAAAAGTTAGCTGGATGTACTGGCACGAGCTTGTAGTCCTAGTTACTCAGGAGGATTACCTAAGCCCAGGAGTTTGAGGTTACAGTGAGCTGTGATTGCACCACTGCACTCTAGCTTGGGTGACAGAGTAAGACTCTTTAAAAAAAAAAAAAAAAAAATTGAAATCTGTTGTAGCTAGTGGGCTCAACAGCCACTACAATAGAATATCATATTCTAGGAGGCATTCTGCTTATAAACAACCGAGATTTATTTATCACAGTTCTGGAGGATGGGACGTCCAAGTTCAAGGCACCAGTGATTTGGTGTCTGGTGAGAGCTCACTTCTGGTTCATAGAAAACCATATTCTCACTGCAATTCTCACGTGGTGGAGGATTTAGGGTCTCTCTTGAGCCCTTTTTGTGTGCGTGAAAGGGTGTCTCGCTCTTGTCACCCAGGTTGGAGTGCAGTGGCATGATTTCAGCTCACTGCAACCTCCGCCTCCCAGATTCAAATGATTCTCCTGCCTCAGCCTCCCGAGCAGCTGGGACTACAGGTGTGAGCCACCACTCCTGGCTAATTTTTTTTTTTTTGTATTTTAGTAGAGACGGTGTTTCACCATGTTGGCCAGGGTGGTCTTGAACTCCTGACCTCAAGTGATCTGACTGCCTCGGCCTCCCAAAGTGCTGGGATTACAGGCTTGAGCCACCATGCTCTGTGCTTGTAAGAGAGGCGAGCCTCTCTTACAAGACCATCAATCTCTTATCATGACTCTACCCCTACTACCTAATCACCTCCCAAAAATCCCTCCGTCTCATGCCATAACTTGGGGTTTAGGTTTTCAGCGTATAAATTTTAGTGGGATACAAACATTTGCACCATAACACTATCTAAATAACATTTTAAATTATGTTAAATGATTTTAAAGTCCTTACAGAGAGAGTTTATATCACCAGGTAGCTCTCATCAACCTAACGATTGAAGGGCAGATTTGCAACAAAATCCTGCTCCAAAGTTTCCTCTGAAACTGTCTCATAAAGCAGTGTTATAAACAGCTGTTGAAAGCCAAAGACCCAAAACAACCAGTCTAACCCATACAAGCATCAGACTAATCAAAATAACTAAAGTGCTGAAGATAATATAAAGATGCCCATCATTTGCTAAGCATATCTTATGTATCAGGATTTACATAAATTGTATAAATTCTCAATAATCCTACTATGTAGATTTTACTACCCTTGTATTACAGATTAGGAAACTGGAGCTTGAAAAGGATAAATGACCTTCTCAAGATCACTCATCAAGAAAGTGACAAAGCCAACAGATATTTTAACTCTCAACTTCCTAACTCTAAATCTTATGTTTGCTGTCATCAAGACAAACTGTGATGTGCTTCACAGCATTTCAACAAGAGCTGGATACTCTGTTCGAAGTTATTTCTATGTGGAAATACATTTCATGCCTGAGTTGAGAATGACAGGAACAACAATCCATTGAAAAGCTCTAGAAACTTGGGACTAGAGTCACTGAGTCCAGAAATCAGTAACATATTAAGGGTTCACCAAAGAAGGCAACTCTTACATCTACACATCCTTCTCTCAGGATACTCATCTGCCAATTATTCTGATTTAGGAAATTTGGAAAATAAAGATCATATACAGCTAAAGAGTAAATCTTTAATAGTTACAGACAATGAAAGAGAGATTGTCCATAATTTAACCATTTCTAAGTTCAAATCTAAACAGATGAGTCTTTGTTGCTACTATAAGATACATGTATATACACACACATATGCATATGTATAGGAATACAAAAATGCATTTGCATATGTAAGACTATGGACCTATAACCCCCACCAGGGCACAGCACATGCATATCCACATTCCTTCCCTTCTGTTCCCCTAGGGGTCATCTTCAAGTTCCCCTAGAAATCTACTCTCCATGTTAAGCATGAAAATCTCCTACTAGATAAAATTATGTATTATTTCTAAAGAATTGGTTTAGAAAGGTATACTAGATGAATCTATTTAGACCCTGGCATCATTTTCATAGAGTTATGGGATGAATATTGTGTCTCCCCAAAACTCATAGGTGGAAACCCTGTATCTCAGTTCTGATGGTTCTGGGAGGTGAGGCCATTGAAACATAATTATGATTAGATGAGGTCATGATGGCGGAGCCCTTAGGAATGGGATTAGTGCCCTTATAATAGTCACTAGAAAGCATGCTTCCTCTTCTCTGCCCCCCAGCATGTGAAGATGCAAGGAGAAGACAGTTGTCTACAACCCAGAAGAGGCTCCTCACTACAACCCACTGTGCTACACCCTGATCTGGGACTTCCAACTTCTGGAACTGTGAAAAATAAATGTCTGTTGTTTATTAGCCACCCAGTCTATAGTAATTTCTTATAGCATTGAGAATTAAGACACACAGTTACTTCAAATACTGTTTTCAAGACATTCAAGAATGTGATCGTGAATTTATGTTTTCCAGGCTTCCACTGGGCTGTTTCGTTTGAATGGCTCAGGGGACCTGGCTGTGAGCAATGCTTCAGTAGATGCAGAATAAATCATCCACAGGATGAGCTGCACAGTGTCCTCATCCACTTCACTCATCACCCAGTCACTTTGCTTTATTTTCATCACACCAGCCTCACTTTACCAGAGACCCTGATGCCATCCCTTCTGCTTCAACCCTCCTCCCCTAAATGTCCCCATGGCCAGCACCTCCTGCTCTTTCAGGTCTTTGCCCACCTACCGATCTCTTAGGAATGCCACCCCATTAAATATCCCATTGAATACCCCACTTAAAGCTTGAAGCTTCTCCCACCTCACATGCCCTGTAACTTCCCACCCCTCTCATCTTGCTCTGTTTTCCATAGGACTTACCATCTTCCCACTCACTATAAAATTCATTTATTATTTTACTATTTTTTTTCTGTACCCTCCCTAAATCTATATATGCTTTTCAACAGTTTTTGTTCACTGACATGCCCCAAATACCTATTCCATGTCCAGGTATACAGTAGGTCCTCAAGAGATAGTTAACACTCAAGAAAAGAACAAATAAAATATCTCATCTAAATGCAATCTTACATAATGCAAGGAAATTGTTATAACCAAAAAATGTACTGCAAAGGGTTTTCACAATAACTCCTCCATCTGCACCTGTGTGCTATAGTCTGTATTCTTAAACTGACCTTTAATAAGAGTGAGAAACTCTTCATGCTTGACTCGGTTCCTCTGGATGTCAATCTTTAGGGTAAGCAACAAGGTGAACAGGAATTTGTGCTCCTCATACAGCCCTCGGGCAGCATACTTATAAACCTCGTAGGTCATGTGCTCGATGATATTAGCAATCCTCTTGCTTGTAATTGGGCTCTTGACAGACCTGGTGAAGAGAACATTTACATCGGGCTTATCCCGCTGCCCTTTTCAAGTGTCTGTAAAAACAATTGTCTTTAATGGAAAATAAGTAACTTTGGAGGAAGAATACTTATTTTTACACATCAAGAGTAAGCCTCCTAAATCTAAAATAACAAGCATTCTCTCAACATGAAATAACATAACAGAATCCTGAATGTTGTCTAAATCAATTCCACCTGCAGGGCATTATTACTCACAACAAGATCTCGGGAATTTTCTTGTTTAACAGAAACATACGAAGACAAAGGAATCAAATCAATGGATAAATAGTTGGCAGAGTTTTCTCTGGGCATATAATGGTGAACCAGAATGATCTGTTAACACATTGGTAATTACACTGATCTGAGATTTAAAAAAAGAAAAAGACTCTTACTAACAAAGGGGAAGGAAGCTATAAATGTAATGTCATTATTTTGGTGCACAGATCTAGAATTCAGCTTAGCTTCCTGAGTACTGACGTACCTGGCTAAGGAAAGGTCAAACAAGCCCAGAAACTGGCGAAGCGAAGTCTGATACATCTCATTAACCAAGCGCATCTCGGTAATGAGGAAGTAGAGGATGCTGCCCCGTGTAGCCACTGGAAGACAAAGAGCAAGGTTGCATGTGCTACGAGAGAGGAAAATAAATGACCCATGCAAAGAGAACAGCCTAAACTCTAAATGAAAACAACAACTTTTATTTTTATATCTTATCAGTGGCTGCGTACCAGACATGGGATACAAAGTGATACTCACTTATTAATATATTTATTTCTTATTTACAACAAGTAGTCAGCTATTTGTATTTATTAAATAGCACTTCTCATTTTAGAATCTCTAGACCCCTCGTAAAAATATTTTTTCTATTTTTACTGCAGGTAGAAAAGACAACCAAAGAAATTTCAAAGGTTGTTGTGTTTAACACCCAGCAAGCGAGGTAGCCATTAGGGACCTCATCCTTAAGTTCCAGCAAGAAGCCATGCCTAACCTGGGCTTCAAGTCTGCAAAACGACCCATTGCAAAGATGATGCTTCTGCCTATCAATAAATGACAGTTTAATTATTAGTAGTAGTATTATTGATACGGAGTTTCGTTCTTGTCCCCAGGCTGCAATGGCACGACCTCGGCTCACTGCAACCTCCGCCTCCCGGGTTCAAGTGCAGTAGCTTTGAGTAGCTGGGATTACAGGCGCCCACCATCATGCCTGGCTAATTTTTTTTTCTTTTTTTTTTTTTTTGTATTTTCAGTAGAGACAGGGTTTTGCTGTGTTATCCAGGATGATCTCGCCATGTTGGCCAGGCTTGTCTCAAACACCTGACCTCAGGTGATCAGCCCACCTCAGCCTCCCAAAGTGCTCAGATTACAGGCGTGAGCCACCGCGTCCGGCCGATTATTTGTTAAAAGGAATAATAAAATACTAAAAGATAGCCAATCCAACTGAATTATTTAGCAGGCTTTTCTTGTACAAGGCCAATTTGCAAATTGGTGGCTGAGGAGAAAAATCTCCCATGAGACCACAGAACTACCTTCCTAATACAAAAACTGTAAACAAAATACCAACATAGTGTTACCAAACAACAAACAACTGGGCACTAATTCCTCAGATTTCACTCATTTGCAGTCATCAGATTTTTAAAAATTCTCCTTCTTTACTTTCTAACATCAAAACAAGTTCATGAGAACCTTAAAGGATTTACTAACATGAATGACAAGTACTCAGAAAATGTATACTATTATAAAAATTTTTGACCTCCATTTTACTGAATATTTCCCAACAGAAATTCCACAAAACACCTCCACTTTGCATAATCATTTGTATAACTCCCTCACATCCTCCATTTCTCTAATTCTCGTTCCTCTCTCATTTCATTTTCCTGTGACATTTGTCTTTCATTACCAGACTCACCAGGTCTGTATTCCTCCCGGGCTGAGTTAATTTGAACTTCTGTCTCAGCAGAAATTTCTAGCTTCTGTGTCACCTCCTCGGCTGTCCTTTTTGTGTTACTCAGCACAACAATGAGACTCTCGTCTTCTACCAGGGACCCCTGGGTACTTGTCAGGCGGTAAAGCAAGTTATCTTCTAGTTCCTTCATTCTTCTTTTGTTTGCAGTTACATCTTCCATCAGATGAGTTCTTTCTTTCTCCAATTCCTATTAGTTTGCACAAATATATTTTCTACCTCAATTAACAACTCCTGTTGAGTATTCCTTAAGACATTACATGGCTGCTTTCAAGTTCCTGTGCTGTATTTATCATAATCAACTGCAAGAAATATGGACATCAAAAAAGGAGAAGGGCTGGGCACAGTGGCTTACACCTGTAATCCCAGCACTTTGGGAGGCAGAGGCGGGCGGATCATTTGAAGTCGGAAGTTTGAGACCAGCCTGGCCAAAATGGTAAAATCCCGTTTCTACTAAAATACAAAAAAAAAAAAAAAAAAAAAAATAGCTGGGCGTGGCGGCGCATACCTGTAGTCCCAGCACTTTAGGAGGTGGAGGCAGGCGAATCATTTGAGGTCAGGAGTTTGAGACCAGCCTGGCCAACATGGTGAAACCCTGTCTACTAAAATACAAAAAAAAATTGCTGGGCGTGGTGACTCATGCCTGTAGTCCCAGGTGCTTGGGAAGCTGAAGCAGGAGAATCCCTTAAACCAGGGAGGTGGAGGTTGCAGTGAGCCGAGATCACGCCACTGCACTCCAGCCTGGAAGAAAGAGTGAGACTCTATCTAACATAAAATAAAATTAAAAATAAAATTTTTAAAAAATGTAGAGGAGAAGTAACAGAGGAAGGGAGAATAGGTGCCAAGCAACATGAAACTGGCAAAAAATACTACCAGCATCCTTCTAATCACCCATTTATTTTCTAAAGTCAAATCAGTTGCAAGTGATTGCTGTGATTATATTTAACATTATACATATAATCTTCTTTTGAAGGGGATATATATTTGAAAACAAAGATATATATCTGATTATATAGGTTTACTTCTGTCTACTTTCTTAAGAGAGTTCCATTATTGTTTAAATGTGTTATTTCAAACTTGCTAATTGAAAAAGTATCCAAGTCTGTGAAAAACTACTCTCTGAAATCTTAAGCAAGCAACTTGAGCTGCAACTGCGAGCACGTTTAAATTGAAAATTCTTCTTGGCCTGCTGTTGTCTCCAAGAGCAGAAAAGTTTTGCATCTTTTCTGAGGGAGCTTTGTAGACAGCTGGGAGAGTGAAACTTTGGAAGACTATTATCCTTATTGGCCATTTCTTCCTCTTGGCAGCTTGGACAGGGAGAGATAGAGGAAGAGGAGGAAAGAAAAGATGGAGCTGGTGGCAAGGGTGGGGGAAGGAGAAATACGTGTGACACCAAGCAAGCCACAGGAAGAGGAAGCCCAAAGGCAGGGAGACAAAAGAGAAATATGCTTCTGACACCAAGTCAAATCGTACATGGATACCAACTTGCTATCCATGAGAGAGACTCTATCTATGATGCTAAAGAAAAGAATCTAAAATGGAAAGAATTTTATTATCTAAAATAAATGATATTTACAAATTTAAAATGAAACTTACGTATTAAGAGAGTTTATTTGAAGAGCTTCCTGGATATGGAGTCTATTGACAATTTACCCACATTTAACTGCATTTATAATGTACAATTCATTATAAGTAAAATATGGGGGAACTAGGGTTAAGTGCAGGTGACAAACAGCAAAATCACAGGAGAGCATGTCTGACAGTTCGACTGGACTCACGGCAGCTACCTGAACGTATGGTACCAAGCTCAAATCTCTAGATCAGCTTCAGAAATGTATATTCTCAATTGGGTACTCTGGATATGACTCAGTAGGTGATATGGTTTGGCTCTGTGTCCCCACTCAAATCTCACCTTGAATTGGAACCCCCATAAGCCCCATGTATCAAGGGTGGGAACAGATAGAGGTAATGGGGTCATGGGGGTGGTTTCCCCCACGCCGTTCTCATAACAGTGTGTGAGTTCTCACAAGATCTGATGGTTTTATAAGCATCTAGCACGTCCCCTGCTTGCACTCACTCTGTCCTGCCACCCTGTGAAGAAGGTGCCTGCTTCTCCTTTACCTTTCACCATGATTGTAAGTTTCCTGAGGCCTCCCCAGCCATGCAGAACTGTGAGTCAATAAAACTTCTTTCCTTTATAAATTACCCAGTCGCGTATTTCTTCAGAGCAGTGAGAGAATGGACTAATACAGTAGGTTTTATAGATTCTACTCCCTATTGAGAGAGCCAGAAATCTAAAGTGATGCAGTGATGAAGCATATGAAAGCATATAAAACATAATGGACTACTCACTGATTACATGATTAACTACACAATTTACCTTTGTTATGATCCAGTGTGCACACAAACATGGAGGGAAATGAGAGGCCAGACCTAGCCCAAACTGTCACTGTTAACCATTATGCAAGTTCTTTCCTTTAGTGGCTCTTCCAAGTATTTATTTTTGGTACTTAGTTTATGCTTACGAGAAACTTATCCCCATACTACTCCACGAATTACATCTTGTTTTAAACACTATCGCTATGTTGATAACTCCCAAGTTTATATCTCAGCTTCAGATCATACCTCCTTTCAACATCTCCATTTGGACATCTAAGAGACATCTCCTACTTAGCACCATCAGCAAAACAAAATGTCTGATCCTCCCTTGAAACCTGCTCCACCTCAGCCTTCCACAGCCTGGCAAATGGCAACACTATTCTTCCAGATGCTCTGGCCAAAACTTTTGATCCCTGCTTGGTCATTTTCTTTTCCTCAAATTCAACAACAAATTCATTAACAAGTTCTATCATCTCCGCCTCAAAACGAGATTCAGAATCTAATCATTTCTCACTCCCTCCACTATCACCACCTTGGTTTAAACTATCATCGTCACCTCCCCTCTAAATTAGGAGGTCTAAACAGGTGTCCCTACCCCCGGCCTTACCCGCCGGTCTACTTCCAGTCCAGCAGTCAGAATGATGCTACTGAAACATACTTCCTCTCTCAAAACCCTCCAGTGGCCAATCTTTCCACTCAGGGTGAAAGGTAAAGACCTTACCAAGGCCTCTAAGGCTCTACCAAGCTGCCCCCTCCTTCATTACTGCTGGGACCTCATTTCCTACTTCTCTCCCATTTTTCACTTTGCTCCAGCCACACTTGCTATTTCCTACATCAGTAGTTTTTAAATTTCAGTGCATGAGGATCACCTGGAAGGTTTGTGCTACAGGCTTGGAACAGCATCTGGGGATTTTGCACTTCTAATCCCATGTGATGTGGTGCTGCTATTCCAGGAAACACACTTTGAGACTCATTGTCTCAAACTCATAAAGAACTCCCTTGCCTCAGGGCCTCTGCATTGGCTGCTGCTCTGTCAGGTCTGTTCTTCTTCCAAATAACTCACTCTCTTCCCTTACTCAAGTCTTCCTCAAATGTCACATTCTCAGTGAGCCCCACCGTGACCACCCTCTTTAAAATGCTAGCCCACCAGCTGACTCTCCAGCTCTCCTGCTCACCAATGTCTGCACTTGTTATGGCATTTACCACCTTCTAACATAATACATAAATTATCTGTTATGCTCCAGGGATAGTTTGGTCTTCGAGTCTATTTTGTTCATTGATAAATTCTCCAGTTAGAGAAACAAAGCCTGGTACAGAGTAGGCACTCAATTAACACTGCAAATTGAATGACCAAATGTTGCATCTGTTTTCAAATTGATAAACTGAAACACACAGTGAACTGGAAAGTCTAGTCTTTGTGCCAGAAATACAGATGCGGAAATGCTCACTCTCTGAAAACCATGACGTTAAAAATAAAGGACGTGCTAACAAAACTGCATGAAGGCAAACAGCAAAGACCAGTGGCCTCGGCTTTATGTTTCAGCCAGTTCATCACCATTGACTGAATGGTTTGAGTTGGTAAGACCCCACCAGACTCTCGACTCACACTCTGAGCACAGTGAATCAGGTCTGGGGCCAGTCGAGGAAAGGAAGAATTCCCTCTTTAAGCAAAACAAAAGTTTAGGATTTGTATCAATTCTTAATTCTTGAAGATGTAGCAACTCAAGCAAAACCTGCTCTTATCATCTTTGTTTCCATCTGTTATCTGGTTACATATGAAGCTCCCTTAGCGGTTATTTCAATTCATTGATTCACGAGATGAGAATTTCAAATTTCGGAAACTGTAGAAATGAGTACAAACAAGTGACATTTAATGGCTGCTATAAAATTCATTTCCATAAGCAGTTATAATAAAAGCCTTCACATTATGGTTGTACTAGGAAATAAAAGTGATAATGAAAATTCAAGCAATTTTTATTGCCATATTTATAAATTTCACACACGATCACTATCATTTCTGAGTTCCTAAAGGTGAGCATTTAAAGGTCTTCACCTGAAGACAGGTAAGGGAAGAAATGTAAAGCAGTAGAGAGACGGATGGTTTTGACAACAGGAAGACATATGTTTGAATTGTGGCTCTCAAAACCCATCAGCTACATGACATTTGCCGTGTTTTAAAACTCTACAGGCCTCAGTATTTTCATCCACAAAATGTACGTAAAAACTGCTCATAGGATGATGGTGAAGATATCGCCAGTAATGCAGCGAAGGTAGCGGCTAGATTATGATAACTGCTCAAAACGTCTCTTCCCTTCCATCTTCTCCTTTGATTCATTTCTGGCCAACTTTTCAGAAGCATGATAATGCGTATTGTAAAAATAAGTAGTTTGAAAAATCAAGTCGAAACGTGGCACAAAGTAAATGATAAATGATACTTTGAATTTCACATCTTATCATAAAAGTGCATAATAAAGCAGCTGAAAAAGGATAAGAAAGGAGAACTTAGAATGCTAAGGACGAATGCTTTCGTGTCAACTGGGAATGAGAGCATGGACTGTCACACTCAAAAGCAGCACCAGGTCTTATCAATTCTTCCTGCACACAAACCTTTATCTTCCGCCCATGTTTTCAATCACATAACAACCACTGCCCTACTTGAGAATTTACTTGTCATTCATGGACTACTCTAACAAAGCTGGTCTTCCTGCTGATGCTTTTCCACTCATAGTCACTCAGGAGATCTCCCTTACCTATTTTGAAAGGTCCAAAATTCTCAACATAGTTGGCAAAACCTGTCACAATCTACTTTTC